TCTCCGACTCAGCACCACGTGACTGACGGGAATAGGTGTATCCACCGCAGCCGGGAAAAGCCAAACAGAATCTCCCTGCAACGCGCAGACTCGTTAGCAGAGTATATCCAAAATAAGCGAGATCTGTTCACCTAAACCTACGCTACATTTTAAATTTCCTGTTTAAATTAATTTCGAAAAAATACAGAAAAATGCAGTAAAGAACAACCCTCTTCATTATACATAACCAATATTTAATACGATTTTGTAAAAAAAGAATTAAATTATTTTAGAAACAAATTTATTATTACAAAATCGTTATTTTTCAATAAATATAAAACAATACTTTGCAGTATTAACGCAATTGTAAAAACATTTTATTATTGTCTCTTGTTTCAGCTTTATAACATTGCATCATTGTATTGCAAAATAAAGGTTATATTCTTATCTTATGTTTATTCAACTTATTTTTGCGCGACATTTTTGGAATAAAGTTTTTAAAATAAGTAATTCAATTAAATTTGTAAATTGAACATTAAGAAAAGCAATTAAGAACATAATAATTCTAACTAGTAATTATTTTAAAAATATTAAAACATCATTATTCGCCGTTCAAACAAGATACCATGATACACGATACAAGAAAACAATTTCAGAAAAATTGTAATTATGCATGACATTCATTAGGTTTGTATTTAATTAGGACTTGTGAATGTATAATAAATGAGCATTATTTATTCAAAAATGATTACTTACGAAAAGGAAAGCATACTACAGCAGCGAGAAAATGAAATTAAATGGCGACTGTGTGTAATGAGTTATGTAGTGTCATCTAACTGTCACTTATATTTTCTAGAACTCGATAGCAAGATTCACAATTTGACACTGTCGGTAAAATATTCTTAAAATAGAATTTAATGTAATAATAAATAACTTTTAAACAAAATAAAATAAAATAGATAATTAATTATATAGCCCGTTGATTTTTTTCCAAATGTATCTAAATGAGATTGTAAAGAAATGCTATCAGAAATTGTTGGTAAACGTTGGTAATTGTAGAAGACGTTCCAATTGCGTGCACGAGATGGCAGGAAAAAAAAGCGGGAAAATTAGTGGCATGATACAGAGCATGTAAAGTAACCTCTGTTTACAGAAAGATGCCTTATTTTATATATTTTTTGCTTGTTGTTGCAAATAGTCAACGTTTTTAATAAGAAATATTAAATATTACAACTTGCATAATTACAGAAACGAATTATGCCATAGTGTTCTTCAACTTGTGCATGATTTATATTTACTTACAAGAACATAGTATTTGGAGAAGATGGATTACAAAGCACGTCGACGTTACACGACTGTCGCGGACACAACTGATTTCCAAAATGATTATCCTCACGACATTCAGATGTACGATGTGCCACCAGTGGGTGAAATGTCATTGGAGGAATTTCAAGAATTGGGATTTGACAGATTGAAAGGTACCTTCTAATACGCCTTATCTCTCTCTTTCCATATGTAATCATCAATGTAATAAAATTTACAATTAACTTTATTGCAGTACTGCGATTGGTCGAGACGACGAATTGTAGAGGTGATCTAAAAACACTGGAAGAACGCAAGAAAGCTCTGCATGATTCTTTGAAAACTGACGGACTGAAATACTATGCAAATCTTGTGTATGCGGATGGATCCAATCCACAGTCTGAGGAACATTCACAGACCAGGAAAAAAGATCATATATCACATTTTATTTTGAGACTTGTATACTGCAATGATCCAGAACAAAGTAAATGGTTCATCAATCAGGAAGTTGAATTCTTCAAATTAAGGTTTAGCTCATTAGATAAGAAGGGTATTGAATACTTATTGAGCATCAACAACATGGATTGCATACCTGTATGTTTTATTATAAATTTGAGAAGATTGTAATGTAATATGTATTACAATCTAATATGTTCATTAATATTTTTTCAGGTTTTACCAGATGAAAAAGAAGAACTGAAAGAAGAGCTTAGTTTGTCATCTGGAAAAGTTACAAATATTGATATCACTGATATTTACAAAGTGCATTTTGAAAAAGTTTTTGATTTAGTCAAAGGACGTAAAGTATACCTCAATGCAGGAATGGCATATATCACCCATCTGGATCTAAGTTCTGTATTTATTTCTTATTTTAGAGAACATCTAACTGCAGGATTAGAGGTATAATTTCTGCTTGATAGTATATATTTTACAAAAAAAATGATATTTAAATAATTTATCTTTCCACAGAGTGCAAAGATCTTTTATGATAATCTATCCGATGATGAAAGATTGACGAGGTATTTAACAAATCTTCCTTCAGCTTTCTCTGGAATGGCACGTATTGTGTGGTCAACCACAGCTACACCTATTGATAAACTGAACGATGTATAAATCAATTATTATTCTAATTAGAATTTTATTTTTTCTTAAATTTTACATAATATACATATACATTGTGAAATTTTCAGTTATCCAAAACATCATATCCTTTATGTATGAGAACACTTCACGAAGCGCTTTGCAACAACAGTCATCTAAGAAATTCAGGACGCATGCAATATGGATTATTCCTGAAAGGTATAGGTGTGACTTTAGAAGATGCTCTGCGCTTCTGGAGAGATGCATTTTCTAAAAAGACAGATGGAGCTGCGTTTGAGAAAAAATATGCATACTCGATTAGGCATTATTACGGTAAAGAAGGAAAGCAAACAAATTACACGCCATATGGCTGTCAAAAAGTTATATCTAGCTCTGTTGGACCTGGAGAATATCACGGATGCCCTTTTAGACATATGGATCGCGATTCACTGTGCCAAAAGTTAACTAGTTTTGGTGTATTTGCCTCTAGTAAGAACATTGATTTTCCTCCTATTCTAAAAAGCAGTAGTATTCTTACACTTATACCTCGTGTTAATGTTTTTTAGATGTGACTGAAATATTGGATTTAGCTAAGGATGGACAATATCACCTCGCATGTGCCAAGTATTTTGAAGTTATGCACAACAAACCAGCAAGCAAACCCCTTCTACATCCAAATGCGTACTTTGCTGAAAGTCGAGCAATTTTAACGGAAGACGATAATAATAGTAAAGGTAAGAAAAGGAAAAAAAATATTTTTAAGAGAAACATATTTCATTATTTTTATTATATGTGTAACATTTTTATTTGCAGATGTCGATAACAAAGATAAATTCTCTCAAAGTGTAACTGGAACTCCTGGAGATATATCTTCGAGGAAAAGTGACAGATATTCCACACCTTCTAGAAATTCGGATTTCACTGGTACACCAAACAGAAACGACAAATACACTACACCTTCGAGAAACACGGACACAGTTGACACACCTCTAAGAAAAATCCAAAAAATGAATTATCAAACGCCTTCGAAAAAGTCTAAAATGACTCCAATAAACATCGCGGAAATGCTAAACGATGATGATTTTACAGATTTTATGGCTGTAGATCTAATGGATCAAAGCTAACAAATAACATTTTGCTATTCTGTGTTATACACATTATTTATATTCTTTGGACCTAATTCAAAGACCTAAGACAGAAGTTCTCTCCAAATATATCACTGTCTGTCAAAGAATAATTTTGTAATAAATATAATTATATATAAAAATGTTGATAAATTGTGAATTTTTACATCAATTACATATAATTACTATTTCAATTGGAATTTTAGTGGAGAATATGTAACATGGAAGTTTGCAAAACGTATATTAATTTTTAAAAAAGCTAATAATCTATGTATAACTTTTATACGATTATACATAGCTGTTGACTTCTTTCAATCGGTATTTCGGTAAAAAGTTTGTGCTAACGTCCCGCACCATTAACTCTACCAGCCTCTCTAAATCATATTTGTGCTGCCATCCCCAATCTCGTCGTGCTTCGGAATCGTCAAAAACTTGCGGCCAATTTTCAGCTAAAATTAACAATAAAGTTTTTATCAATTTGTAATGTCTTTTTTACTTTTATTATAACATACTGAAATAAAATACGTACCGATGAGTTGTCGCTTGTCTGGCTTGTAAGTAATTTTCAAGTCCGGTACATACTTGAAGAGTTCGTTGAACAGTTCCTCAGGTGTGAAACTCATGGCTGTGACATTGTAAACTCGTCTGCGCAGTAATTCGTTAGGCGTATTCAAGAATTGGAAGAGTGCTGACAGACAGTCTTCGATGTATATCATCGGTAGTCTGGTGTGAGGTTCCAAATAACATTCGTACCTTTTGTTTAACAATCCTTCATGAAACACCGCTACAGCATAATCTGTGGAAATACAAAAATTTCATTCACAATGTGACATGTGATATAAGATTCTAGTAGTTTACTGCAATGCATTAAAATCTTATATTTAAGAATATTAAAGAAAGAAATGATCTAGAATATGTACATTTATTATTAGAAAATGTACATTTTGTTCATTTTTATGTTTTAGAATCTTATATCTTATATCTTATTTGTTTTAGAATCTTTTTTGGTAAACCTAAAACTTCACTGCAATGCATTGAAATTTTATATTCTAGAATTCTAGATCATTTATTTCTTTAAAATATAAGATTCCAATACATTGCGGTAAAAAAATGTAATTTTGCATCGCAATGAAAAAAATTAAATTCTAAATTGCTAAACCTACCAAAGTTTATAAGATTCCAGTGTTTAATAATAAATAAAATGTATATTTTAGCATTCGAAACCATTTCTATTTTTAAAATATAAGATTTCAATACTAACAGTCAGTATAGCAATAACAATCAGTATGAAAACATCTGTAACGAATAAAAAATCGGATGCATGCATAGATACGAGTTTTATCACACGAAATGCATAATTAAATGCGTAATTAGTTAATATGTATTATTTATATTTTTTAATATTTTTTTTTTTAATTCAGTATTCAAAATCAACCAATTAAAATTAGAAATATAACACGAGACAATTTTTGTGATATATATATATATATATAAACGTTCTTAACTCTACATACGAATTGCCCAAATCTTCGCAATGACCGCCGCTCACGATGTGAGCTGAGCGCAACGAAAGAATTAATCGACATCGTGGAAAAGTAGCAACGATGAACTTCAATACTATTGCGATATATCGATGACATACCTTTTGTACGAGAGGAATTTTAATTATTGTAATTTAAGATTGATATTTTTCTAGAAAAATAAATCACTTCTATTGACTTGCGTGTCTGCAAAATGAGATACGCACTTGAGTACTTTTTGTAACATGTTTTTATCGTATTGTTATTGATGTGTATCCAATCGATGTGTTTACCAATTCCTTACGCATAGAAAATTAAGGAAACCGAGAAAAACAGTCTCACGGCGATCAAGTCTCACTGCATTATTCGCCAGGTAGTATTGTCCTTGAGAAGCGATACATTCTATCATTATGCAGTTACCTTAATCGCGGTTAATGCTCTAGTTCTTCGCAAAAGAAGGCAAAAGACTGTATCAATTTTCAGTTATCAGCCTATTTTGTATGCGGCATTAAGCGTTTCTTAAGCATAAAGCATGATTGTAATCCGCTGCGAATCGGAAAGTCTGAACACGCAAATATCGCAATTTTGGTTGAAGGAAAATATTTTAATATTCCCTCGTGGTAACGACACTTAAAAAATATATAAATATGTAATTATTCACCAATGATAAGGCAAAAAATTTATGACTCATCGCGCGTTTAACGCTAAGCTGCTCTGCCTCGATGAAAAAAAAATTTAGATTATAAATTCCAAGTTTCAAGTTTTATAAAAAAGATCCATCATGTGTTGCCTTTACCATGTTTATCGAAGACAATCACATCTAGCGTTAAATGTTCGATAAAAAGAGAAGATATCCTCACCTGTGGTACCGCCGCCGGGTGGATCGCAGCTGATTACACCGGGAAATCGGAGGCATCGAAAATCAAGGCCGAATCGATGATGATAATACTCTCCTAGGAGCTCCGCGTGCACCTTGCTGACGCCATAAATCGTACGAGGTCGTTGCACCGTGACATTCGGGGTGGGATTCCTCGGCGAATCAGGTCCGAACGCACCGATCGTCGACGGTATAAAGATCCTCAGTTTGTATTGTTTTGCTAATTCGATGACGTTGTGCATTCCTGTTTTTTCATGCGAGAAATAAAAAGAAACAGCAAATCTTTAAAATTGATAAATTAATGGCACAAGCTGCATAAAAAATTCTTGAATTTTTTGGGAAGAATTTTATTTTCAACTCCGTCCTGATTTTATCAAATTCGAAAACAATTTTGTTCATCGAGCGTGTTTGTAGTTCGTAAAAAATACGTGATACCATCTAACGCCTTTCGAACACTACTCATCCGCTTTCTCTCGGACACTTTCTTCCCCTCATGAACTATGTCGCGTTATAATTATTATCGCAATGATAAATTAACTCGTCAACACAACATTCCATTTCACTTTAACGCAATTTGCGAAAAGCCACGTTTTCGTGTAATTTGCGTTCTATTAAATATTAAAAAAAAAAAAATCTTATACATATATTTTTATCAATTAAATTTTTTTTAAATTAATTAGAATAAAAGTAATGCTATTAATAATAATAAACTGCTAAAAACATTTATATTATACACTGAACTTCGTCAAGATTGATTTTCAAAATTTAGCAAATTATTTTTATAGCGCCGCGAAACTTCCAGCCGATGCCAATTTACAAATTTGCATCTTTGCATTTATTTTCTACCTTCAATATTAACTCTGACGGCTAGCGGCACGTTTTGTTCACCAATAGCGCTAAGTAGAGCGCTGAAGTGGATGAGCCAGTCGATTCTGTAATCCACGACGATTTTCTGCAGGCCCTTGAAATCAAGGATATCGGCGAAGATGAAGGGCCCATTCCTCAGCATCTCCTCTGTCGGCTTGATAATGTCCGACAGTATGACATTCTCGTTGCCGTAATTTCGACGGAGCAATTTCGCGCATTCCGTGCCCAATTGTCCCAGACCCCCTGAATCAAAATCGTACGGCATGGAAATTTCCTTGGTGAAGGACGTTTCTTACAATAAAAGCGAATGGGGTTGCGTCATCTTTTTCTACGCATAAACAACTGCACTTTATAATGCCTTTTGATAAGAAGTTATTAAGATGAAAATCAAGTTGATCGAAGTATGACTGAATTTATATGTGTATCCAAGATATGTCCTTTAAAAAGTGCATAATCGAATTAGAAAAACACAATGTACACAATGTGATAGTGATATGATTAAAAAAAAAAGAAATGTTTTATTAAATGATTAATTAAGTAATGCAAGTATAATTGCATGCATTTTTCTTTTTTTTTTTGAGAACATCAATATTAATTTGTATCAATTAAATAATGTATAGAATTACTGGTACTTATGAATTAACAGAACGAGATCAAGTATCTCGTACTAACCTGTTATCAATATCCGTGGCGATTTGCTCACATTTTGAGCAGATTTGATGTCAGTTTCCTTAATCGCTTTGTAAAGTGGATTGATCGATACATGAAAACTCTTGCAAATGCTCCTTGAGAAACGGCACGAGAACTGAATGGTACTTTTGCACAACATTATGTCATAAAATGTTATACCACGAATCTTAAACAACAAAAAATCTTGTAATAACTATACTTTTTTATTGTTCTTATCTGTTTTGAACTTATTCGTTTTTAAGAAATCTATATTTTTATAAAAAAGGAACACACATGTCAAAGTCATTTACAATATTATAAAATGTCCATTATGTAAAAAGAAATTAATGATTTTACGCAGAGCTTGCGAAACTTAATTCTTTTCACGCGATCCTTTCGCGCTGATAATCGATAAACAACTGGTAAAGCTTCGAGTAATGATTCTATATTATATCACGTTCCATTTTCAAAACCAGTTAGAACACGGATGTTGTCTCTCAGCGTATCTGTATACTAATACTAGAAGACGTTTAAACTCTCGACGCTCTCAATCTGTACATCTATAATCTATATATATATATAATCATGCAAATTTCGTTTGAGCCATTTTTTTGTACAAGCACATCCCTAACGTTTTAAAAGGGTGGGACGGGTGGTCTGAAACACCCGGTATAAAGCCAATAGAGCAAGAGCTGGATCGATTTGCTCAAAAATTCTTTTTTTATTATAAATTTGTACAGACGTTTCGGCCAAGGAACGTGGCCATCTTCAGTGTACTACAAAAATTATAAAGTTTAGTACATAATTAGAGAAGCGTTGGTAATATTTTGACTAAGGAAACGCATCCTCTGATAAAACGTGTATATTTGTGATTAGTAAAATTATATACGTGTGAAGCCACGGATCTGGTCTGGTCTGACTGGTCACCAGTCGAGTCCCACTCACAGCCGTGGACACATGTCACATTTCTTTTACATAGTCGTTGACGAACCGTTCAAGTTAGACGGTCCGTGGCTTCACACGTATATAATTTTACTAACCACAAATATACACGTTTTATCAGAGGATGTGTTTCCTTAGTCAAAATATTACCAACGCTTCTCTAATTATGTACTAAACTTTATAATTTTTGTATTACACTGAAGATAGCCACGTACCTTGGCCGAAACGTCTGTATAAATTTATAATAAAAAAAGAATTTTTGAGCAAATCGATCCAGCTCTTGCTCTATTGGCTTTATATATTAAAACGATATATATATATATATATGTTCAGTGCAATATAAGAGATATATGTTATATATAAAATCTGTATATGTTCAGTTCTACATCTATAAAATCTATATAAGATCGATTAATCACTATTTTATTATAAATTCAAATTTTTTTATTAGCAGAAACAATATAATTACGTCATTACTTGGATGTCGCACTTAGATCGATTAAAATCCGTTCAATCAAAAGCTGTAAAACAAACTGCAAATCAATAACATTTAATGTAAACCGCGACTTTAATAGCTCGTCGAATTTGCACGATAAAAAATCAGTCTTATAAAGGTATCGATACCTTAGATCATACAATAAAAATGATTTTGTTACTGTATTCAATTAGAAACATTCAATAACAGTTTATGATAATTATCGAAGGCTTGACAGCGAAGACCAATAGCAAAGCGACTTGTTTCTTATGCGATTCTAAACCGGTTTATTTCTATTCCACATCGCAAGAGCAAAACATGAGAAAATAGAATAATAATATGTTTAGCAATAAGATTAATGTCAATTCAATATATAATTTAAGAAATAGTGGTTTTTCGAAATCTCCGCTTGAATTTAATAAAAAATACAAAAGCTTTTCAATAAATATTTTGTCATGATTGTTATTTATGTTGAAACAGCGATTTAACTATATTATACGTATTCAAATTCAAAATGCTGCACGTCATGACTACATCTGCTTATGTTGTGTTTATGATTTGACAATCTACGGAGGCTTGGCAATATCAACCAATAATAAAGCAACTTTTTCTCGTATGATTCTAAACCGGTTATTTCTATAATCTACGCGTAAGAAAAAAACACGATGCATAAACAAGCTATGCGTGGATACCTAATATCAAGGTTGTGAAAGAACTTTCGTAAGAACACATTTACTCATGACATGTACGATAAATTTCATGCAGATGTAATTTAATTTTAGATTTGGTGGAGCAATACCAAAAATTTGATGCACCAAAAGATAAGATTTTAAAATTCTACGACTACCATTAGAAACTTAACAAATGCAAAGATTGTCAAAAAATTTTAATCACTGTCCTTGTGCGAATACGAAAAAAATCACTGTAAATTTTTACTCAAATATTACTTGTTATTTTAAATTATTTCAGATATTAACATGATCACATCACTGCGCAATTAACAGTCGAACGTTCTGGTGATCATAAACGTAAAAAGTGCCACTCACTTCATAAAACACACCGATTTTTTTTTAAATACATATATGCATAAATAATATATTATAATACATTCTACCGTTTATCTTGCATACATTTTACGTTAACTCTTTTGAACAAGTCTCTTATATCAGTGATAGTAGTGCATATCTTATGCAATATATAATATATATGCATATGCATTGCAATTGTATTGCAATGAACTCATTAATTCGTCGCATCTTTAGAGAAGATAAAACTAATCGTTCTATGGAAAATCTTATAAAAGCGAAAAATAGCAATATATATAAGTATGTATAATAGTAATGCTGAGTTCAATCTAGAGAGTTATGAAAGCATTAACCATAATCATTGTGTTTGTGATGCGAATATAGATAAATAAAATCAGCAACAATATTTCATTACAAATGTTTTATCTACGAAATCAGAGATTATCTCTACAATTATTGCGCATTTCTTTGTTCTCCTACTTTTCCGTCTATTTGAACGAATTTGCTCAGAGTGCGATTAATATCAGTCGATCATTCTGTTCATCCTATCAGACGTGCAACGCGGAAAACGAAAGAGGAGGGGGTGATTTTTTTCAGAAATACCGAATTACATTCGACGGCCGGTGAGATTCGTGGGGAAAGAGAAGAATTTCCTGGAAGCGTGTCTTCACGGTGGCTGGACATGCACTTCGCAATTCTCTTTGCCTTCCTCCCGCCATCGCCCACACCGTGCCACCATCATCTTCCCTCGAGTTTGTGCAGACCACCACGCTTTTGCGAACAGTTTCTTCAGTACGTTTAGAACGTGCCTGTAACGAGACCACGAAGAGCCTCACATTTGTGACCGAAAGACGGTGTTAAAGACGAAGCGTGACGCGATTGCGCGCTCCTGTAAATACGTTAATCACTTATTTTTATGCGCGAAAAAATCGAGTGAAAATAATTCTCAAAAAATAGTTCTTCGTAAATTTTGTTTTCGCCGAAAGACTCAGGATTCTTCAGGATCCTTCGGAAGCGGAGCGCTAGATTGGCGAACAGCGTTGACATAATAGGTAAACATTTTATAGACGAAAATGTACCATAAGCAACACTTTCCGCTTTCTAAAAATTTTATTATTTGATATTTTTTTTATTAATTCTGATAACAAAATAATAATAAAATTGGCCGAGAACAATTCTTCTACAAAATAAAAAAAATAAAAATTAGTATTTTCCATTTACTTTTAAGTGTTCCATAAAATCTTTTCAACATATAAATACGTGCTATAAGATATTTTACAAAAAAAAAAATCCGCTTAGAGTTCTCGTATCGTCATCGTATTGCCATGCGTTCAATAATCTCTTGATCTTCGCAAAGGTGCACAACCTTTCCTCATACAATTGCATAATAAAGCAGGATTAGCATTTGTGGCAGAAAATGAGATGTACGCTAGGGTCGCTGACGGATATCAAGAAAGTAGAAATCACTTTCACTAAAATTGCGTCTGTGCTGCAGCATTTGACGAAAATTCAGCATTGTAACAATAACAATGGAGTTAGAAGACAGTTAAATACGTCTTTACTATTATGCAATATTGTAAAACCCAACGCTTCGTTAAATAAGCACGTGTCGCGTATGCAAATCTGCAACGTGAAATGCAATTTTATTATCAACAAGTTGATAAATTGGAATTTAAAATTATAAAACCAATTTATACACGTCAGAAAAGTGTATAAAAAGATTAAGAAAAGAGCCAAATGTAACAGTCATGTACGATTTGCAAAGCGAGCTCTTATGCTGAGAGCATAACTGTCTTCGAATCTTGCGGAGTATCTCGAAATGCGGAACCAGATGCGCCAAGACAATTCTACTCATTGATGCAACATGTACGCAATTTCGTACCGTTTATCGCGGATCGCGCTATATCGACGTTATTCACGTGCGAATGATTTTGTAGGTCGCCCGATTGTTCGTTCCTTCTTAACGGCTGACGCATTATGAAATCCACCTGTTTCCGCGTGACAGGATCCACGGTGAACGCCTTTATTTTTCTATTAACATATTTCGCATCGTGAAAATACTATATGTCATACGACAAATGCGGCACGAAATGTGTTAACACGCGGATATTCGCGCTAATTATAATTTATTTTTTCTTTACATGATGATTATACAAAATATTATCCGCAACAAATAAATAATTAGATAGATAATAAGCAGCCAAAAGAAAAAATAGATAAAATATTACCAATCATCAGTATGTGATCACATAATTTGAAAAGCTGTTCCAAAATACAAATTTGCTCAAAATACAACAATTTCTCCGACTTTCTCTTTCCCCTTTCAAGGTGCGAATTTTTAATTCCAACTTGATTCATTCTCCAGTTTTGTCCGCCCGCCGTTACGAGATACATCGCAGACGCGCGCGCTCGCGCGACGGCAATTATTACGGACAATGATTGTCCTAGCGGTCTTTAACTTTGCTTACGGTACGGAGCATCAATTTTGTCGTCTACGACCGTAACGTGTGTGCACGCGTACACAAATACATGGCACGTCGCGCCCAGGATATAAAGGCGTACCGTGACGTCCAAGGGCTCTTAACGCCTAAAATCCCACAATCATTGGTCGTTGTTTAGTTTTGTCTCGCTAAAAGATTCCTGTTCGAACGACGCGCACACTCGTCGCCTCCTACATGCGGAAACGACGTAATTACGTCATTCTTGTCGTGTCAGATGTTGAAATACGACACTCGTCACGTTTATTATTTTCCTTGGTAATGGTCTTTTGTTAATAAATCGCATTCAGCGCGCAAAACGCGATGCAAGAGCGACCCGGCGCTGAAGGAAATTAGGAAAGCCCGGATGTACTTGTATCACGCTGCTTGATCTAGAAAATTGTGTTTTAGAAAATAGCTTTGAATGTGGATTTTAATTAGCAACTTTTTAAACGCACGATTTAAATGCGATCTAATTGAGAATTTTAATAAGACGTTTGTTTATTTCCTCCAAATTTTGACTCGTCTCCATTTACGTGCGAACGATGAATTCTAGAAAATGCGGAACTGGTGCTCGCGGTCGTAGGCTAGTGGTCCAAATGCGCGATGGTCAGACCGTCGGAAGGCGGTGGACTTCTGATAGTCGGCTGGCTTCTGGCACTCCGTTCCATCGGTGCCGGTGCCCAGTTGGATCCCGATTACGGATGTCCGCCTCAGGAGAGGATACTGCCCTGCAGATGCTCCACGCGCGATATGGAGGTTCAGATATGGTAAATTGACGGAAGAACATTAAACAACGAATATTGCGTGGAATATATGCTAAGCACCGTTGAATTCGCGCAGGTGTAGTCACAGCGAGTTGCCGAAGGTACTGGAAGGTCTCAACGCGTTGAGCCATTACATGGACCGGCCGGTGGACGAGCTGATTCTGGAGAACAACAACCTGCCCAGCCTGCCCGGCAAAGTGTTCGCGACCCTGCGAGTTTTGCGCCTGATGCTGCGGAACAATCGGCTCGAGAGGGTGTCGTCCGGCTGGCTGGAGGGTCTGCACGACTCCTTGCTGGAGCTCTTCATCGTCGAGCCGGAGCTGCGGTCTCTGCCTATGGACAGTCTGGAGAATCTGCAGGGTCTCGAGGCGGTAACGCTGCAGAGTCGCGTGATGAAGAGATTGCCAAAGTTCTCCGGCCTGCCGAAGCTGCGTTACCTCCAGATCAACTCGCCGGCCCTGTTGGAACTCGCCCCGAGAAACTTCCGCGACATTCCCAGCCTCGAGCAGCTGCACGTGTTCGGCAGCCCGAGACTGATCAGACTGGAGGCCGGACTGCTGCGCGATTTGCCGCGACTGGAGCTAATCAACATCACCGACTCCGGGATCCACTGGATTCATCCGCGCGCCGCAATCGGCCTGCCGGAACTCAAGGAGATCTCGCTCGTCGGAAATGCCATAATCGATGCCGGTATGGTTGGTCGCGCGTGTATGAATCTTCCGTCGTTGTCGGTGCTACGCTTGGATCGAAACCGCGTTAATCGCCTGGGCGAGAACTCCTTCGTCGATCTGCCGGCCCTCTCGCGCCTTTATCTGTCGCGCAATCACATCACGGAGATATTCGCCAATGCCTTCCAACGCGTGCCGGCTCTCAAGTCCGTGGACCTGAATCACAACCTGATCCACCGCATCCATCCGGAATTCTTCCCGCATCGCGTGGGCAACGCGCTGGAGGAGATGTGGTTGATCAACAATGATCTCAGTCACGTGGTTGAGATACGGTCGGTGCTCGAGGCTCTGCCAAGGTTGAAGTTCCTAGACGCCAGTCACAATCAGCTAGAGGAAATACCCTTCGGTGCTCTAAGAGGCCATCCCACTTTGGAAAGGCTACATCTAAATCATAATAGGCTAGCGCTTCTGCAGAGAGAAACCTTCACGGCTATGCCGGCGCTCAGAGAGCTCAGACTGAAGAACAATTCCTTGTCAAATCTGCTGGAAGCTCCATTCTGGAATCTGCCAGCGTTAAAAGTAAAGATTTTGTTCAATTTTTTGTATATCAGAATTATAAGTTTTTTTTTACACACTCTACAATTAACTTAATCGTTTTCGAAATTAACTTTAATTGTTCGAAATCAATTTTTCGTCGAAAATAAATATCATTGATTTTTTTCAAAGCCAGTTGTACTAATACGATGATTTTAGGGTCTAGATCTTTCGGAGAATTACTTCCGTCACGTAGAGCCGCGTTTGTTCTCCAATCTGCCGAATCTCAGACGGCTGGATCTTAGCGGGAACGCCATCGGTCTCATCGAACCGGAATCCTTCTTAAACACACCGGCGCTGGAGCACATCAACATTTCCGGCAACGCTCTATCCGTTCTCCATCCATTGACCTTCCGACACTTGACGAATCTGTACGAGCTGGACGTCGGTTGGAATCGCATGCTAGAAATAATCCCTGGTTTACCGAAGGACATCGAGCATCTTCACATGCCCATGAACCGCATCGTCGCCTTGCCAGTCATATCTTCTCAAGATCTAGCCTTGCCCGCTCTACGATCGTTGGATCTGAGTGCAAATGGGATCGAGCGAATTCTGCCTGGTTCTTTGACCGACTTGTCGAACTTGAGAAAATTGAATCTAGGCTACAACGCCATGAGAATTCTAGATGACGGTGTTTTCGATGGGCTCTCAAGATTGGAACAGCTGGACCTGAAATACAATCGATTGGTTACGTTGCATGGGCGAAGCTTCCGTTCGCTAAAATCGTTGATGGACGTAAATCTCCGAGGTAATCGAGTGGAGGTCCTGCGGCCGGATATCTTTCAGGAGAATATACGGTTGCAGAGAGTCGATTTGAGCAGAAATAACCTCGCACAGATTCCTCACGCCGCCTTTGCCAATACAAGGTAAAAAACTCGATAATTATTATAGTGCGATCTTTATGGTAAAATATATTTTGGATTCTCATGTCGAATCTATATTAGGTAGTATTTTATTTTTGTTTTATTTTATTTTATTTTTATTTTCCGCGTATTATCCTGTAAAAAGTATCAGTTGTCTCGGTATTCTTATCGTAATTTAAAAAATTTAATATATTATTTTTATAACAATAGAAGTGTATTTTCCCCTGCTGTTATCTCTCGCGGTCTCGTATTCTAGTGGAAAAGCAGTTTCACTCGTGGTTACTTGATTGCATCACTTTTAAATTGGTACCTAGAAAGTTCTCCGTGCACACGCTAATATCCCTTTCTCGTCGTTGTGTAGTATCGGTCTGGCGTGTCGGCTAATTTGACAGTAACTGGACTCGCTTTTACACGCGTTTTTATTTAAACTCGTCTGTAAAAGTTAACTTTACTGCATCGACTAATGTAATCTAATGTAATCTAATTTAATTCAAATTGAGATAGTGTTTTTTAATGCGATTAATAACATGTTTTCTCTTACATTTACAAGTATATTTTCTATCAAGTATAAATTTATATATAAATTCGTAATAAACCACTTTTAATAGAAATGTTAAAAATGACATAATAAACAAGATTCAAAATATTTTCTAATTTTTAAATATCTTTCATATTTCTGGTTCTGGAAAAGAATAGATTGTTTAATTGCTCCGTCTCGAAAACGACAATGTCAATTATAGAGACCTTCGTGAACTATATGCGTCGCACAACACTTTGACCGAGTTACCCGGATCGCTGCACGGCTTAACCGCTCTTCGGGTCCTCGATTTGAGCTTCAACAAGCTGAACATCCTCTCGCCGGAAACGCTAAGCAGTCTGTCGTCCTTGCTGGAGTTGAAACTGGTTAGAAACCGCATACGAGAGTTGCGGGAAGGCGCGTTTGACGGACTGCCACGGCTGTCCCTGATCGATCTCGAGAACAATGATCTCAGAGTGATCGAGAGAAACGCTATCAAGGCATTACCGGAATTACAGGCCATCAGACTTGGCAAGAATCGATTACAGGTAACGAATCGTACGACTTCTATTATTCAATAACCGCCAAATGCTCGATTAAAATATTTTTGTTATACGCAATTTCTTTTGACACATTTAATTTAAAATTTTTTAAAACTGTTAATATAAAAATTTCTATAAAAAACGATTTTACTATACATATACAACGCACAATGTAAAAATATTATATCGTTGTGCAGTTTCTAAATTTTAATACGCATTATAAATGTCGAACTAAATAAAAGGAAGTTTATTTTACGTAATTTTATAGTCCATCCCCACTGGAGCTTTCACCGAACTGCCATTGCTGCAAAGTGCGGAACTTCAGGAAAATCTAATCCAGGAAATCGCTAATAATGCTTTCATTAACGTGCCACACTTACTCTTTCTTAATCTAAGTCACAATCATCTGCCGGCACTGGAGTACGTTGGTCTAGAGAGTCTTCGCTCGTTAGAGGTTCTTGACCTCAGCTACAATCGATTATCTCGAGTATCCAGCCACAGTTTGGCAGCTATGGAATGGCTGGTGGAATTGAAGGTACTTGTAGAAAAAAATTCCACAGTTTAATAAAATTAATTTAAAAAAAAAAAAATTTTATAACACTGATACGTCATCTTTTTTAAATTCTCTTTTAAATTCAAATTGTCCGACTGCACAATCTGTGAAAAATTTATTTTGTGCAAATAACTTGTAAAATATTCCAAATAAAATAGAGCGAGAGCATGAAAAGTCTTCGGTAATAAAGGAGAATACTTTCTCGTTGAGAGTGAAACTCCTGCGTGAACCGTGGTGCGAGACGGGCCGTTCTGCTGGTAGAACAATTATTCGTATATCTGCATCGTTAATTAAGGGAGATAGCCAGTCTGCTTTAGACAGCCATTTTACAGCCGTTTTCCTTTCTGAATATAGATGGATAACAATCGCATTTGCGCCGTGCACGGTTCACCTTTCGACGATATGCCTAGATTACGAGTACTGAGTCTGCGTAGCAATCAGATGACTGCTGTTTCTGAAAATGCTTTCAAAAGACTGAGATCGAACATTGCTGTCTTGGATATCGACGGTAATTTAGTATTTAATTACTACACAATTATTAGAACAAATTATTAAAAAGTGTGAATCAAATTAACAGCTTAATTATTATTAAACTAAAATATTATACAAATTTCACTCATATTTGCTATTTTTATATTTATATCTTTCTTTTATCTCTGAAAAAGGAAATCCATTATCCTGTTCCTGCGGCATGATTTGGCTACGAGGATGGTTGCAACAGGCGTCCTCAGAGGGTCCCAGATGCGCTGATGGTTCTCTCTTTAAAGAAATCAGATTATCGCGTGAGGATTGCCAGCGTGAGAGATATGTAGAACCCGTCCATCCAGGATGCGAAACCGAAATGATTAACGTTGCGACACCTTCGGTTTCTTCATCTGGTAAAATATAATAATCAAAATAAAATTAATTAATTAGTAAATTCAAAAAAATAAAATCCTTAACTTTATCATGAAAAAATTATTATATTGTTCCATTATTACATTGTTCATCCAACGTTTCAATCACATTGCAAGTATTTTGAATAGAATTAATTAATTCTAATCGTGTTTATAAACCTAAATTAAATAATTCCGCAGTACAATTTATTAAACGACAAATTTGTCAGCATTTGGAGTTACAGAAACAGTGCCGCTGTGGATGAATCTGAAAGACTCCTCGACGCAGAAGCCTTCCGTTTCCCAAGACTCCGACTATTTGTACGAATATGCGGATTATCAAGACAATATAAGCGAGACAAGCACATCCACATTGCCACCCAGCTTGTCTACAATTAGCGCCACCCAAACCGTGAAGATCATTCACCCGCCGCAAACGCAGAAGCACCAAATCCAGAAGAACGCCACGTCACCTATAAAGAAGAATCCAATGATGCCACCGTCGCCCAGCAGTTCCGGTTTCACCTTTTTCGGCGTACCTCTGCCGAGTCTGAACTTCAATTTGTGGGGCAATTCCGGCAGGAAAGCGGAGCGGAAGGAGTCCTCGGCGCCGAGTAGACCCGGTCGAGGACGCTACAGATCCTTTCCGCCCACGGAACCGGAAATTCACAGAGGTGGCTTCGTACCCCTGCCACGCGCCCAAAGCGGATTCGTGCCGATCGCTGATCCCAGATTAACATACGAGAAACATGAGAATGCTTCGAAATTGTTGAACATGAACAATACAGTGGCGCAGGACGAACGTCCGCGGAAAAACGGAAGTAATACCGTAGCTAAAGTGGAAAAAGTTGTCTCCCGAACTGTAAAACCTCGGATCAGTTTTCGAGAAAGGGAGGAATTATCAACTGCATCAACATTCAATCGGTCGACAAGTTTAAATACTTTCGAGTCTCGAAAGATTTCGCTCAACGCCAGCAGAGCCAGGTAAATTGTTTAAAATATCTTTTTTTAGTAGAATATTCTGAATTTAACATATTTTCGCTACAAGACATATTTTTCACATTTTTATCTTAATCTTAAATCTTTTCTTAATTAATTCTGTACTTTTTTTATAGTTAAAAAAGTTGCAAATGTATACCTTGACATTTTGATTGAAAAAAGTTGTATTTCTGCTTTAAATTCAATCCGTGAAGTTTCAATTAATTTTTTTGCTTGTTTTTTTTTCGTTAGCTTTAATGCGTCAAGCATAACAAAAAGTAGTGATCCGATAATTGTGGAAGAGGAATCATCACAAGAAGCTCACGAAACGTCAGTTTCCACCGAGATTTATGACGGTGAAAGTTTAGAAGTAAATGCGGAAGATATTAAATTTATAGAAAAACCACAAATGGAAATCGCTAGTAGGATAATCTGGACTACACCAAAGACGGTGATAGCGGAAACAAAGAAGGCTATAATTGCCAAAGAAACTGTAACGGCTGCGATGAATGTGGCACCATCGAAAGAAAGCGGCATGAAAGATTGGAACTTTGAGATATCCGAATATAAAAAAGAATCAACTCGATTAAGCGACACACTCGATTCTGATAATAGATCCGGTGAGTTTATTTCTTAATAAAAAAATTTACTTGTTTTTTAAATACTCAACTATTAAATTTTCACCAAAATAAAAAATTAAATTAGCTTTTAAATTAACTGAGAGACAGCATTTGTTTGCACTATTAAAATTTTTAATTCAACAAGAAAGTTAAACCTTCCATATGTTCAGAATCAAAACTTCTATAAAATCGACAGAAATCTGTTTAAAATTTTAGGATTTTACGAATTTTACGAATTTTATTATTCCGATAGCTACATCATATTGCACTGTGCAAATCTCGTTTATTGCAGATAATTCACAGGCAAATTCAAAAACAAATGCACCGATCCCGTATTATTTAGCATCCACGACATCTTCCACATTCAATCCACACCTCAGAGAAACCACGACCGCAATCTCGTATACTTCTCGAATAACGGAAGCATCAACTCTATCCGCGCTTTTGATTCCTGGGGGCCAACTACCGTCCTCCGTGAGCTCACGTCCGTCTGGTAGATCTACAATAACCAAAGTCGCTTCACCGCATCTCGGCTATAATACCGAGCAATCGAGAGAGAAACAAAAATCGGCTGCTGCTCAAAGAAGCGCCGATATTGATGAGGCAACTAAAAGCCAGAACGAGGCGTTCGTCATCGATGAAGAAGCCAAAGTGATAGACGACAATCCTTTCAATTGGTATTTCCAGCATTATAACGATACAAATTTGGAACCTTACGTAGGCATAGCTTACAGTGGTGCCACGAAAATCAATGTGTATCAATGGTTATTCTTGGTTGTTTTCAGCATTTTACTGTATGCGTAAAAAGAAATTTGAAATTTGCAGAAATTTAGACGGCTTTTAAATACATAAATTTATCATTGAGTCTCATAAGAGATAAAGTATTGTAATGTTTGTTAACGAATATTGTTGTGTGTGAGTGTCTTAAATCATCATTCATACATGTCAAGTATGTTGCAATGATAAACGATGTACACAGTCGTATTATATATCTATATATATTTTTTTGTTCAAGAATCATTGTATATACAAAGAGATGCGTGCGTATATTTACGTTTTTATATATTTTCTTTCTCTTGGTAAAGTATAAATAGAAAAGCATTTGTATATTAAATAAGCAGATAAATTAATAAAGCAGTATAAGCAAATAATTACTTTATTAATAATGTAATACTTTCTCTTAGCACAGGATGATTTGTATTTCTTAAAAAAATTTTATAATTAATAATATTTATATCACGTATATTGTTAACTAAAAATTTTCAATGACATTTTTGAAACAATTTAGAAAAATACTTTGACATCAATATAGTATTGCAAGCCATTAATTGATTAATGAATAAAATTGAAGATAAATATCCACTGTGCCTTGTTTTTTCATAATATTATTGTTGATATTGGCAGATTATTAATTAAAACATTAAAGATATTGTAGTGGCTACAATAATATTCTGTAAAAATGTCGTAACATCCTGAATTTTTCGATACATTTACTACATTATTCATTACATTCAAAATATGTAAAGTATTGAATTACCATTTTCTATTCTTCTTCAAGCTTAATATCTCAAAAATTTGCAGAATTATGCCACAGAATTTGGAAATCAATTTACTATTCGTAATAGATATTTAAACTGTCATTATTTATAAATGCGATGTAATTCTGTACAAATTGTGAACAGGCTTGATTATTACACACAGGGTCAATAATCGTCCTCAACTTTAACAGTCTCAATATCGCAACTGAGTAGACTCAAAGATGCTCCGATCACTGGCTTTTAGTTTTCGTCTTTTCCTCTCCTTTTTTCTCTTCTTCCTTCTTTTCTTCCTTTTTCGTATCCTTTTTTCCGTCCGTTTCTTTTTTCTCAGCGTCACGATTAGTCAGTTTATTATTAATTAAATTGTGTAGTGCCACTATAGACCTAACCAAGGCTGCCAAATATACAACCAGCATCTGATCATTCGTTTTTACGTATAGCGAATCGACGAAGCTACTTTGAGTCATATCTGGTAATAAATTAAATATATCCTGAAGTTGATAAACAATTTGGTGATTTATGGGCAATTTTCCACTGCCAACCTATAAAAAGATTTATTTAAATAACAATAATTAATAGAATTGTATCTGTGTCTATCAAAATAAATTTATACCTGGAGAAGATAATCTCTAATTTCCCGTATTTGTTCATGAAGGCCTTTCAAACCAAGCAATTGATTTGTAATTCTTTGGCTGAGTGTACCAACTGTAGTATCTTTAATGTCTCTCAATAAATGTTCTACTCCAACCTCTTCTGCTTCCTCTGCTCCAATTTCGCTTGGGATGTGTTCAAAAGTTTTGGAAGTCGGAGAACCATCCTGTGAATAAAATTATTATTAGACTTTTTTTTATAACAGACTAGATAGATGGTATATGCATATAAACATACATCATGAACTTCTTCGACTGCTTGATATGCTTCTGTAGGAAGTCCGAGATCTTTCGGTTTAGCATCAATAATTACCAAAACTGAATTAAGGCAGTATCTTCTTATTAGTTCATTAATGGCGACATCATTTTGATGTAACTTAGGTCCAGTATGATACCAGCCCACTACCTTTTCACGAGCTAAAAATCGCAACAATGTATTGTAATAAAAATTTTTGTACTAAGTAAATTTTGTAGAATTTGTATAAATTTGTTGAATCTTTACCATTGACTTTCTTGAACATTCCATACATATTTTCAAGATAATCATGATCAAGAAACCATACACTTTTATCCTTGTCATCCTCATCAAAAGGTACTAAAACATAAAGATGTATTTTTCTATATTAGCTTCAAAAGGAATAAAAAATATTTGTGATACATTTTCTGTACATTCATATGTATTAATAAAATAAGTATCACATTATTATAAATATAAACGTTTAAATAATATTGTAATCTGTTTGAGATTCTAACCTGCAAAGCTGTTTGATACATCCAAGATTCCCTTAGCTCTCCAGCAGCCCAAAAGGACACCGACTACTCTTTTTTGATTTCCAATTTTTCCCATACGATTAAAATGATCCACCACGCTCAATAGCACCAGCGGGTGGACTACAACTTTCGTTGTCACAACTTCTTGACTCGGCATTTTTGAGCAAACTCGAAGGAATACAAAAGATATATACCATGAACTGTTCAGCCGCTACTAAACGCGGTCGCCACCATTAAGAATGGCGTGACGTGAGTCAAATTCATTGAAGTGCCATATATAACCAAGGGAAAAAATACACGAGTACCTTTATCTTTTAAAATATAGAAAGATAAGGCAATTTTATAAAATTCTTAAATAATATTTTATACAATTGTTTTCCTTTATAATTTATGAAGCTATTTTATATTTGGTTTGTGAATAAGAATGATTTGTCTTTTGCGATTCATTCGAGTAAAGTTGGCAAGCATGATCGAAAAGTCAGTGTTACAGTGTTGTCAGCATTGTCACTTCAGTTTTGTTGGTTAGGTGCAAGTTTTAACGTGAAACTATTTCAATTAAGAAGGTAATACAATTTTGTTATGCATCAACAATATCTGACAAAAATAATTTATTATTCAAAACATATCTCGTTTATATCCTATTAAAATTAATTCATAAAAATAGAAGTCTAGCGTGTTAGATTCTACGGTATGTATCAGTGTGCATTATTACACAAGACAGATAGTACCAACTTAAAAATCGCGCGTAACTTTAAAAAAAAGACGACTAAAATAAAGTTTACAATAAAATTATATTTCTTGTAAGATATAGTAAAATACAAGTAAAGTAAAAACATTCTTCCTAATATAGTTTATAATTAAATCTCTAACTAATGTTTTATAAATTATAAATATTTATTAAGACAAAATATAATGTAGTAAAAATAGATTTTTTCAATGAAGTAATATTGATTATATATAAAGAATTTTTGTTTTAATTGATATAATATATGTCACATTTAACGGTTATTTTGTTACAGGATGTCGAAACCTATAATTTTTGTCACGAGCAACGCAAAGAAACTAGAAGAGTTTATTGCTATTTTAGGAAAAAATTTCCCTCGGCAGATAACGAGCAAAAAAATCGATCTACCCGAATATCAAGGCGAAATAGATGACATATGTCGAGATAAATGTCGAGCCGCGGCGAACCTGGTGAAAGGTCCGGTGATTATCGAGGATACCTGTCTTTGTTTTAACGCATTGAAGGGTCTTCCGGGGCCTTATATTAAGTGGTTTCTTGAGAAGCTGGGCCCCGAAGGTCTCCACAAGATGCTCGATGGATGGGAAGACAAATCAGCGGAAGCGGTTTGCACATTTGCCTACCATTCCGGTGAAACTGACAACGAGGTGCTCCTATTCCAAGGTCGAACTCAAGGCATCATCGTGAGTCCACGAGGTCCTAGAGATTTCGGCTGGGATCCTTGCTTTCAGCCGCTAAATTACGATAAGACCTACGCGGAATTGCTAAAGGAAGAAAAGAATAAAATCTCTCATCGCAGCAAGGCACTGGAAAAATTAAAAGATTATTTTATAAACAATGACAAGATATAATCGTATTCGCACAATAAAGTTATTATCTCTCCCATGAATCTTGTTGCCTTTTTCAAGTTTTTCCTCTTCCGAATAACTCCATGCTTATTTATTGATAATAATATCTCCTTTTATTATAATTTTGCAATATAATTAATTATAGAAAACAGTTTTTTATACATTTAAATTAATCTTGTAAGATTCATTTACTGCATCAACCTTGATTCGACCGCGTTTATTATAATGTTTAATTCTGACAAATATATGTTGTTTTGTCTTCGTGTTATAACTTATACTCTGACCTATAATGTTAACGTTCGATATCCGTTCAATTTATCAAAGGTGATTCTTCGTCAAAAATAATGTGCGGACAAGACGGTCGTCTTGTCACACAGCGATAGTCGTCGAATCGTGCCGGAACATATGGAACTGTTTGCCGGCAACCTTGAAACTATTACAATACCTCGCGACAGAAAATCTGATAACTTTAATTTCGATAAATCACGCGACGTGTTAATGAACGACTTCCACCTTGCAAATTTTACGTGATGCAATAAGTTGAAATATGAAACCATATATATTATAATCGTCTGGTGGAAGATATTGTTAATCATGCGAACCGTACCGATACCTCTTATACGCAAGCACTTATAATTTGAACTGTAAATTGTGTACAATAATAACCACTGCAAATCATCGTAGCTTCAACTTTTTACGCGATTACAGACGCATACAATTGCGTAAATACTATTTAAAGTAAATGCGTGGAAAATAAAAATGAGAAAAGATTAGAGAAATAAAGTAATGCGATAAAATGTGTTATTGCTTAAAACATTGAATAACAGATTATTATAATAAGAGATATGCATTTGTAACTATTAGCATCACAAATAACACTGATAAACGCATTTTTATTACATGCAACATTTCTAGTGAAACATTTTTATAAAATAGCCATTTATAAAGCTCAAGAAAGTTAAATCAGTAGCAGCTGTGTGATACTAGTTCAATTTGTACTAATATAACGCTTACAACAGAAAATTAAATTATATTTATTGTTTAGTATAATTATGGTCTAATAAAAAGAAGAGCATTACTTGCAAATGTAAAATGATCAATAAGCACAATTTATTATATATATAACAAACGATAAATATACAGCAAGTTACGTAAAAGCGCTGGTAAACATGCATTTATTTTTGATTTTCTTAGTTTTATCAGACCGCTGATAATTATTTAATTGACAGATGGAAAAGTACACAATAAAAGAGATATTCATTTAACTTAGTAAGTGTAATTATTGACGGGTAATTATTCATGCGACAAAAGTGCGTTATGAAAAATAATAGCTGTCGCAAGTTAAATAATAATGGAATGCTTTACTCTGATAATTGATAGACGTGGAAACAAGCAAATTATAAATGATTATTACAAATTGCAAATCATTCGCCACTTATCACTTTTCTGCTAGTGGTAATAGCAGTTTTATCGCGCGCACATATTTCACATAAAATTGCTAAACTCTTCTAGTGGTGAATCACATTCTAAAATTAATAACATTTTCTACGTACAAATCTATACTCGTATTGGCCTTGCCAAAGACTTTTTAATTCGTAAGCTGATGTGATTATCTTATCGTTGGGATGCTGACCGCTCGAATCGCAGTAGTCCATCTCAGGAGTGGCCGACAGTCAGTGTTTTTCGATACATATGGAATCATCGTAAATTGTGACGTTTTTACGCGTGTAAAATAGCTCGCAAACAAAGAGATTCTGTAAAAAAAAAGAAGTTTTCCTGTTGTTTCCTCGAAGAAGACTGTGCGGAGAAGTGCGGAGACGGACGCATTGCGATCGGTCAGATGTGCACGTCTGATAGGCAAATTATTTTTAATATACACGCGTATATACGTTTTTATGTGTTAACAGGCGCGACAGCTGTAGCCCGATGCCCGAAAGGGGTTATCTCCTTGATTATACCAGCACGATCCTCTCTGTCTGTTCTTCTCTCTTTCTACATGTAACACCTTTTCGTTTCGGGGTTATCAGTTTCCATGTACTATATTGCATTTTACATCAATTACGAATCCTATAAAAGAAGAAGGATCTCGCGTACGCTACCAGTCTCGCATCAGGGGCCACGCTATGATGAATGCCCTTACCGGTAAGTCGTTCGCTAACAAATGCGAGAAGTGTTTACGCGCTTGTCTGAATCAGTTTCCGTGATGCTTTCCGATGGAACTTGTTTTCTTCTGATTTTTTTTTCACCACTTTGACAACAAGTGCAATGTGTATAATTGTGTCTCTTATGCGATTTTACATCGGTCTAAATGTCAATTGTTCAGCCGTCTTCAATTCGATGATTCTGTTCTTTTTAATCGCATATTTATACAAATTTGATAATAAAAAGAAGAAAAAAATATATTCTTTTTATCTTGTGTAAACTTTTGCAAAAAATACCTAACAAAGTTATATCTATATTTTTATATATAATTTTCTTCGATATATAATAAAATGTTATAATTATTAAACAAGTATATTATAGTATTGTAATTGCTAATTAAAATTTCACATTTTCTTATAATTTTTTAACAAAATACTTTTTATATTTGCAGTGCAAAATGCATTATATAAATTATATTTTCAGTATTGCTGCTGTGCCTAGCGGCCGCGTGTGCGGTTCCGGGTAAGTTATTGTTTTCTTTTAACTTTATTAAGAGTAAGAAAAACAATTGTTCACAGATTGTTACAAGTAATTTTTACATTTAGTAATATTACATTCCTTTGTTTAAAAAAAATTAAAAATTTCTTGTAAAAACATATATAATTTGTGAATTAAAAGGAATTGTTATTTAATTAAAGAAAAAATATTTATGTTAATAATTAAAAAAATTTATTTTGTTGTTATGTATTGCGAATACGAGTATCAAGCTATGAAAATGACATGTTCTTCTAAGAAATCATTTTCGTATATTAATACACTGCGTCGCGAATCTCTCACTTCGTAAACACACACAGTCTTGTGTAGTCTAAGTGTACATAACAACGTATGTCGTAACGATAATGATTTAATACGTGCAAAGACTTATTAAAATAATTTGACTTCTCGATGTAGATAATAATATTTAATAATTGGCAAAATGTGTTATTTTTTTTAAATTAACAACTACTAACAAATAAAGTACATTAGCGTGTATAGATATAGAATCTGAATAGAATAAAGTTAATTTACCAAATATCACACATAAGATTACAATGTTCCAGTGCACTTTCCTGCTGAGAAAACGGTGATTTACAACTATCACGCCGATGTGAAAGCTGGGATTGTTGAGCCAGTGCAATACGCGTCTGAGTTTGCTCTCGCTGGACAACTTCACATAAGGAAGGATGCCAATGATCCGTCCTTGAATAATGCTTACTACATCAAACTAAATAACCTAAAGTATGGCATGTTCAATGGCATGGTCGAACATCATCGACCAGTCGAAGTGGTTCACGAGCTTGAAGAAGCCGCGCAGCAGATCCAGGAGCCGTTTGTGATTGTCTACAACGAAAATGGCAAGGTAAACATCTAAATTTTTAATGCGACAACTTAAAAGAATGATAGTCGTCTGTGAAAAACGAGCGATTCATTCTGCTGAATGTTGGATTTCAGTTCGAAGGCGTCAAAATACCGGAGAACGAGAGCGGTTGGTCGAGGAACATCAAGCAAAGTATCGCCTCGATGCTGCAACTGGATTTAGCTCACGTACAACTGCAAACCCCGATGATACCACACAGTTTTGTCACGCATGAGGTAGGTAACGACTGATGGGAACACCCAGCGAAACGTGTCTAATGTTCTCTTTGGTTGTTACCACTAGAAAACTATTCACGGCACCTGTGAAGTCACCTACGACGTTTCTCCGAAAAACCCGGTGAATCCGGAAACCAACAATGTCTTTGTGGTCAGAAAAATGCACGATCTGATGAACTGCAGTCACTTTGCTCAGCGTGTTTTCGATCATGTTGAATGCGAGAAGTGTCATGTCGAGTCTGTGGTAAATTTTTATTATTTTGTCTGCAAAAATTTGTTTATAACTTAAGTAAATATTTTTGTTTTCTTAAATTCTGATTCAAATTGGATTACAGCTAATTTATTCTCCTTTTCAATAGAATGATATGACCAGCGCTGCCAGAAGAGTTTTTGAGATCGAACAGCGGGGTGATGACGTTATCATTAAACGTCTGGTCGCTCACTCGGTCATCAATTATTTCCCTTACAACGCCCGATCTGAAGCTCACTATCTCTTGACTAAGTAATTATACAATCATAATTGCATGTATTATAATTGCACCGCGTTGTACTAATTTCATTTCTTATAATATATTTATAAAATTCATTGTAGATATTAATTTATAAAATCTATTTTATAGAAACTCTTTATATTTAACTCATATTTTAACTTTATATTTATAATAAATTTTACAAATCATAGATTTGATGTTATTCTATTCCTAATTTTTCATTTATTTTTCAGCACTACTCTAAATTTGCATTCCGTTGAGTCAGTGGCGGAGACCCCTCTGACCGCCGGGAACTTCCAGACTGTGCCTATCATTCGCGATCTCACCTTCAACAAGCCGATGGGAAATTATGCTCTTCATGCTGCCGAAGATCTTACTCATGGACGACACATTGTCCAATTGGACACGCTCATTCCTAAACTTAAGAAAATGTTGATGGAGGCTGTTGATTATCTTGAGGAAAATCACTTGGAAGCCAAAGAACCCGAATGGAAGCACGGACAAACTATCAACAGGCTGCAACATACCATGAGCTACATGGATCTGGGTTCATTGGAGCAAGTTTACAACGCCATTCAGGATCCGAAGACACCCAAGGAAGTCACGATGAAGTGAGTAAAATACACGATTATCTCTTACTTTAAATTACCACAAAGAAGCAAAGAAATATTACAAATTAATAACTTTATGTTAAAAAACATATAAATTATGTGTCATAAAACAACCGTAAGTTATTTTTTTATCATGACAAGAAATTATAAATATTGTTTTTTCTTGCTAAAAATGATATAATTGTGATTTTAAAGGAACATTTTCCTGCGAATGATTCCAACCGTGGGCACAACCGCTGCTTGCCACTTTACGCGAAATGTCATCCGCAAACATAAAGTAACCGATGCAGCTGCTTTTGCGATGTTAATGAAACTGTCGATGCACGTCAAGGTACCCAGCGAAAGATTGCTTCTGGAAATGGAAGATCTGTTAAAATTGAGCAACACTGTATCAATGGAAGTAAGAAAGGCCAGCATTTTCTGCTTCTCCATCTTGATCCGCAAGACATTCATACATCAGCAGGGCGAAATCGTCAATCCTCTTCTCGAGAGATACGTACACCGTTTCCTCGATCACGTTAAGAGTAAATATTACATTAAATCTATATCTTAAATATTAGAAATCAGCGAAAATAAATCTAGATTTATAAAATTTATTTTACATGTTGATTTATAAGGTTCATTTTAAATATAACTTTATATTTAAAGTAAATTTTACAAATCATGAACTTCATGTATGACTGTTCCGAATCTTTTATTTAATTTAATCGTTTTTTGAACAAAATGACAAAATAATGACTTTCGTAAATGTTCCAGACGAGCAATCGTATGAGATGAAAATGGTTTATCTGATGGCGATGAAAAACGTCCAAGTGGGCGGCATCGAAAAACTCTTGGAGCCGATTATCCGCGGCCAGGTTTCCATATCCGAGAACCCACATCATATTCGCATTCAGGCAATCTGGGCAATCAAGAAAGCAGTCGCTGATAAAGTCGAATATACCCATAACTTGCTCTGGCCTATTCTCGCTGATGTCACTCAGCCGCTGCCCGTCAGAATCGTCGCCTATGACGTTTTGATGAGCCAGCTGCCGAACATACAACGACTCATGAACATATACTGGCTCATGGTCCATGAACAAAATCATCATCTGTACAACTATCATTATACTACACTGAAAGGTCTTGCCAATTCTGTAGACCCTTGCCTCACGCCGGTCCGCGACATGGCCAGAAAAGTCTTGCGCTTTACAAAAGTAAGACCGACCACCATTGTGCTCTCGTCCAAGAAATTGATCGATTACACCGATCCTGTATACGAACATGGTGAGTCCTGGAAAATGTCCTGGGTCCTTGACGAAATGACCGGTGTGCCGCAGGCTGGATACGTCGAACATTACGCATCATTGGCTCGTAAGCCCGTCGAGAAAGTCGGCGTAAGTAATACGCTAAAATTCACAAAATATATGATTATATGATATAAAAAATATCTCTCTCTTAAATCTTATGGATAGAAAAAAATGTCATTATAAAGAAAAATATTAATTTTTTACAAACAATTATTCATGCAAAGAATTTATATGCGTATACGTGCGCATGCAAGCGGTTTCTATATATACATATTTTTTTATTAATTTTCTAGATTTACTGGTCTGTCTACGGTTTAGATGAGATCATGAAGATGGTCAAGAAAGAACTGATCGGCACCACGGTCGAAAATCTTAATAACAAGAATGTACAGAACATTTTGATGCGCGCCGCGCAAGATATGCCGTCGAGGAAACCCGTCCACATCGACGTTTGCATCACGCTTAACGGTCATGTAGTCGTCGTCAATCATTACGATCAAAATACCTACAAGAACATATTCAACGAAATGGTTAATCTGAAGCAGATAATGAGCGGCAATGTCCAGGAAATCACATATGACACCCTTTACGAGATGCAGGTGCCCACTGACATGGGTCTGCAGGCAGTTCTTAGCACCAAGATGCCGCAGTTATTGTCGATGAAATTCAACAATATTCACACCGAAGTCAAAAAACCGTCCGTGAACATGAAATTCGAGGTCGACGCTCGCATCTGGAAGCATGGCGAATACGTCATGTCGATCTACAACCCTGTTGCCGACGTCTGGCACTCGATTCGCCGTGCAACCGTCTTGGACGTCGCCATGCCCGTGGAGATGAGTGTCGGTTACAATCATGAAACAAAGAATCTCAAGGTCACCATGCCGCGATTGCCAATCACCAAATTATCGCACACCGGAATGCGATTTCACGCGAAGAACTTGGTGACCATTACTGAAGACGAGCAGGACGTTCTCAAAGTCAGCTGCGCTACTTGCCATCATCACACGGTCGTCACTACCGGCGAGAAGAAAAACTATCACACCGCCGTGGACTCCAAGGACACGGGTCTCAAATACAGCACGACGATCTTCGATTGTGAGAACAACGTCACCCCAATGATCAACGCTCAAGAGTGGCAACGTGCGCTTTCGCCGGAACACAAGAACACTTGGTAAGTATTAAAATAGCATTATTATTCTACTTGCATCATTATCGATTAGGGCTTGTAATTTTTTTTTTAAATCTAGAATCAAATTGAATAAATTTTAACTGTTGATATAATTTTTTAATAGAAGAAAAGTTGTCACGCGGTGATTTGTTTGACAGGGGCTCGGAGATCCAACGATACGTCATGGGTATCCGTCAAAAATTCATCAACGATTTAATTTCACCGGACATGGGTAACTGCGGAAGGGTCATGAAAATGGAGCCCAGCATCGTTTATCCTACTTCGCACGTAAATAGATAAAGATTCTGATCTAAGAAACGCGGTTTTAACGTTCTTATTCTCTCATTCTTTTTTTCCAGGTCGATTTGAACGTACGAGTCAACGTAGAAGACGTCGATCACATTTACGATAAGATGCACATGATTAACAGCAATAAGATCAACATTCGCGGTACCCTCGATGCTAAAGCAGCCTCCACGAACGAATCCGTTCGCTCATGGAATGTGAACGTGAACGTTGAAATGTCTCAGGGACACACACTCAACAATGTCAAAGTTCAGATGACGAGAGTGACGCCAGGAGAGAAGAATTTAAAGGTACAACGATTATCATAGTTGTAAGATTAGTGAAATTAAATTGCAAATAAGTAAAAGAAATCCAACAAAGTTTAATCGATATAATCGATCAATATAGCATGCCATTTCTTTTCGCTTCTAGATTTGCATAGACGCTCAAAAGACCTACCCGGTCATAGAAACTGATCCCTTGAAAGTCGACATCAAGCATAAGCAGGAGACCAACACAAAGATGACCATCACTGCAGGATTCACGGACGAAGATAAATGCGTCCGCGACGATATGTCAATCGTGTTATCTGTCAAAGGCGAGATGACAGAGGAGCAGAAGAAGCAAATGGCGCACGATAGCGTGCACGGTGCTTGCGTCAAGGACATTCAAAATCCGCAATTCCAAACAGGACAGAATCATGTTCCCAAAACCATGAACTGCGTCCACGAGAGCATACAATACACGACCATGAAAAAATACACCATTAACGCATCATATAAAAAGGTAAAGAAAAATAATACAGATAATAGCAAATATAACTGTGTTCCATAACAATTTACAAAAAAGAAAAAAAGAAAACAGGAATATCTTAAAATCATAATCGTAAAATCGATAAAATGACTTCCTAATTTTTCTCTTATCAATCAAAATTTTTCAACTTTGTCCATTGTGTCGTTTATTGAATGTAAAAGTCATTGTTTTAATTAAAACAGATCGATCCAAATAAATGTTATAAATTTGTATTTAGCTATATAAAAAAAAAAAATGATAATGATTTTCAGGTACCGATACAAGTATTCTCGCAATTCAACAAATTCGACGATCACGTTCGTGCGTTGCACTTGCCGTACGTGAGATACATCGTAGACCGTACTCCGAGCGGTAACGCGCAAGTGGTTATTGAGTTCTCCTCCGATCTGAGTCACGTCAATGCAACCGTCGTCACTCCGGTCAGCGGATACGAATATGTCCAAGTTCCTTTGCATCAATCAACCAACTTCGAGGGCATAGTAGTGAATAAAGCGGTATCGCATCCAGTATGGCACACTATCATGGACAGTACTCGTTTCTCCGTAACGAACTTGTACAAAGTAATGCAGGACCAATCTAGTAAGTCGTTTAGTGATTGCAAAACTATGTGTGTTTGTTACTTATGTGAATATTGTGACATTCGAAAGTTTTTGACAGAGCAAAATAATGTGACTTTTTGTCTGCAAAATGTTTCAATTATTCATAAATAATATTAAAAGTGGTTTACGCAATTTCATTAAGTATTTCTTCCTCACAGAGATCTGTACGATCTACCCGCAAAGTCTGATCACTTTGGAAAACGGCATGTTGCCATTCGTGGTGACCGATAAATGGACTCTTGTATCCAGCGACCACATTGATCAGACGTACGCCGTTTTTGTGAAATCTGTACAAAATAATAAGCTAGCCATGAAAGTCTACGTTGCTGATCATGAGATGGAAGTTATGCCGAATGACGTTGATGTCGTCGTTTCCATTGATGGCAATACGATCGATCACAAAAAAGGAATTGTGGTCCCGCAGGATGAGCCGAAATCTTACGCGATGAAGTAAGTGCAATGAATGATCAATTAATTGAGTGCGGAGTTCAAACAACAATCTAAATAAAATATGAATTTTTGTAGAATCACCGAAAACAACGAGCACCTTGTAATCCAATCTCAACGTGTGCCGATAATGATAATGTGGACATCTGACAGTGTAACATTAATGCTGAGCACCGATTTACAAGGTTACATAACCGGAATGTGCGGCCACATGGACAATACGCACAAAGAGAAACTTCCGAAGATTTACACTGCCACGCATCTTTAACTCATAATATAATTTGAATCCATAGCACCACTTTATTCTTATCAAAACCTAAATTCAATTAAATATTATCTAGATTTATTTACACAAATGTAGAACACAATTTTATTTCATAAGAAAATGTAAGAATGACATTGTAGAAGCATAAAGAGAAACAATATGTAATAAATTCTTACTCTCAACATAATTTAGTGTTAATTTAGTTATTTCTTCGATCTAACTATATGTAATATGTATATTATTTGCATATAATGTATTTCTCCAAACATTGGAGTATTTCGTAATTTTATAGATAAAATCAAATACAATTATTTTATTAAATAAATGTCCACTCAAATCGAACATTTAAACCACTGAAATTCGGTGAAAAATTGTTGCAGACAAAAAAGTAGAACTAAAGTTTTTAAAATTTAAAATTTGTATTTTTTACGTGCTTTAGACCATTTTCTGACAATTTATCATTCATCCTCATATGCATAATCTTCTTCTTCATTATTATTAAATTTTTTTATCATTATTATCACTATCATCTTTATTCACTGTTTCTTCTTCATTATCGTTATCATAGCAAAGATGAACTCTTATATAAAGATTTCAAATAGCACGAGTATACAAGTACAACGTGGTAAATAAGTATAATATTTAAACAATACATTAAAATAATTTTTTGTAAACTTTACTTCTGTGAAAATTTCAATGGCTACAATACATCATACAGAAAGTAATTTATGAAGAATTTTAAATCGTAATAAAAGCATGCAGTTGTACAAGCAGTTTATACATATTATCATTATGCGTTTACATATATTAAAAGTCAAATTATACAGGATGTCTGTCATAAGGTGTCTCACCGAAAAGATACAAGTAGATCTCGTTATTCTGAACAAAAAAGTTCTATACCATTTTGCAAACCACGAAAAATTTCGAGTAATTAATTAAAAAAGATTGGCCAATAAGCGTGCGATCGGGCAGTGGGCTGACGAAAAGTTATTGTTTACGCGTCGCTTTTTTGTGCCGTCTTCCGCCCGATTTGTCGCGAGCAGCAGTCGCGCGTTTCGGGCAGGTGATGAACGCCCAGATGTGTTAACAACGGCGCGCGTTACCGCCACCGCAGCTACGGTCAGCCCACTACCCGATCGCGCACTTATTGGCCAATCTTTTTTAATTAATTACTCAAAATTTTACGTGGTTGTTTACAAAATGGTATAGAACTTTTTTGTTCAGAATAATGAGATCTACTTGCATCTTTTCGGTGAGACACCTTATGACAGACACCCTGTATATAGAATATAAATAGTAACATAAAAGCAACAAACCTAAAATTCAAAATTAATCTAGCTAAGCATTTAAAAAAACTAAGCACCTTTTACTCATGAGGGGTGTTAAGCAAATAAAACAAAATATTATCTTTGAACATATTGAATTTTTAATTTTCGAAATATTTTGGTAAGTATTTTTGCATATTTTGGTTACAAAGTAAATTTGATAAACATTAGCTCGCCGATTTGTAATAATAATTCAAATAACTACATATAATAATATATTATTAATACATTAGTAATTGGTCATTGTTATTACAGATATGGCAATTAAATTTTTTAAGATTTTATTTTCACTAATCATGTATGTTATAAAAAAAGTTACAAAAATAGTCAAATAAAATCCGAATATTGTTCAAAATTGAACAACAACAAAATTATACATGCTTTAACGCTACTAAAAAAAATGTATTAATTTTGTTTTTCAAAAAGACACACAGTTTTAATTATGACCAATAAATATATACACAAAAATATTGAAAAATTAATCAATTAATTGCCAAAGTTGTATCATATGTTTTCGCGCAGAAAAACTTAATATGTGCATCTTGCTTGCTATTATAAAAAATATACTAATATATATATAGCATAATATATATAGTATAAAATATATATATATATAATAAGATTTAAATTGTTCCAAGACAACTTGAGTTAAAAACTAAAAATCTCAATACATTTTGTAAGACAGTTATGGTTGAAAAATCTTGCAAGCTTTGAAAGTCTTGATGTTTGAATGTCATGAATGTGTGAAATATTTTCCATAAAATAACACATATTCATATACACACATATAAATATACTGTATACACACACACAAATGTATATACAAATATACAAATTCAAGAGTATATAGTTTTCAAGATTTTTCAAAATTCTTAATTAAAACAATCTGTAAGATGTTTTAAGATTTTTTATTTTTAGTCATTCTACGTATGTTTAAAAATTTGCAAGTAAGAAAGTTATGAAATCCAAACAATAAATATATATATAATTTTGTGTTTTAAAATGTATGAAAAATGATAATATCGATGAATATCGATATTATGAGCATATTCGCGCGTCAAAAACTAAAATTTAAAAGTTTTCAAATCAATATGTCAGATATTTCTATATAGGTTACATTTTGCTGTAAATTTTAAGTCTAAGAAGTTTTTTAATCATGCTTTCTTAAATAACTCCAATAATAACTTCATAACCTCTTAAATCCATAATTTCAGCACATTCTGATGAACAAGCATAACATTGAAAACTTGCATTCATAATATTTGGTGTTCCATCAAATTTAATATTCAATATTTTGACATACTCAGAAAATTTTATGAAGCGCTTTTCATAATAAAAAAAACATGGAGTTTCACAAAAAAAGCAATATTTTTTTTCATCCAAATATCTGACCAATATTTGAGGTAATATGTTTATGCAATTTAATCTATAATCGTTAAAATTATTAAAAATTCTAGAATTATTTTGATTTTTACAGTATTTTTCAAGAGTCAAGTTAAATATAATTAAAAACATCTAAATAATAGCAACAAACCCAGATTTCAGGATAACATCAGCTGAACAATCCACAAGACTAGGCACTTTCGAATTCATAGTAAAATCATCATCACTATCGTAATCTAAATTAAATGGATTGTCATCAACATCTATATCCGCCGACAAATGTGCCATATTTCCTGGTAAATATAACAAATAATTGTTGCACAAATCAAGCTCTTTCAAATTTTTTAGATTTGCGAGACTTTGTGGTAAACGTTTTAACTCATTTCCGGTGAGCTTCAAAATAGTTAAAACATTTAGTTTTCCAATTTGTGGTGGTAATTCTGTTAACTAGAAATAATAATAAATCCATAATTTATTACTAATTTATTACTAGATAATAAATATAAATTAATCTTTTGCATTTTTGTACAAAAATTTTAATTTTTTATGTTTTAATAAATAAGTAGTGCAATTCTTACGAAATTGTCACACAGATACAATTCTGATAATTTATTTCTCACTGCAGTTTGCTCTAGCCATTCCCATGCATTGCGACCAGATCTTCCAAGATGATTAGAAGTGAGATTAAGACAAGTAAGATGAGGCAAAGTACCTAACTCTTTTGGTAAGAACTCAATTTTGTTTTCACTTATGTCTAACCACCGTAGATTTTTCATACATGTAATTTGTAATGGAAATTCAGTCAACTATGTATAATAATACATTGTTAATATCTCAATAAATGATTCTATTAAAGCTACACTTTATATCTTTAGATAACAATTTATTAAACCAGTTAAAATAATAAAATGCCAGCAACTAAATAGCACAACTTACAAAATTGCAGCCTATGTCTAACTCTAATAAATTATCTCTAATGACAGTTTCTAACCATTCCCACGTAGCATGCTTACATCTTCCGAGCAAATTATCCATTAAATCAAGTGTTATTAGTTGAGACAGAGTACCAAATTCTTTTGGTAAGAAACTGATTTTATTTTCGCATAAAAATAAGATTTGTAAATTGTTCAAACAATTAATTTGTAATGGTAATGTAGTGATCTATAAATAAAGTTAATTTATTAGTATAACGGTTAATAATAACTGTAATTTTAATATTTTTGTTTTTTAAGAAATAATGTCATTTTTTAATCAATATCATAATATTTTAATAATTCGATATTACAACTTACATAATTATGACTTAAGTTGAGTTTTCTTAAATTATTTCTAATGGGAGCTTGCATTAACCATTCCCATGCAGATTGTTTAGATCTTCCAAGATTATTATATGATAAATCAAGATCCAAAAGAGGCAAATTACCAAACTCTTTTGGTACAGAATCGATTTTATTCCCAGTTATGTCTAATGTTGTGAGATTTTTTAAACATGTGATTTGTAAAGGTAAATTAAGTAGCTGTAAGTAGCAATGATTCATTAATATAACGATAAATGGTAACGTAAAGTAAAGAAACGTAAAGTAACTTTTTATTTATTAGATAAAAACTTTATTCTGTTAATTAATAGTTAATATCATAATATCTGACTAAGTAAATAGTGCAACTTACGTCATAATCTGTTATTGCCAACTTTAAATTTTTTCTCATAGAAATTTGTTCTAACCATTCCCATGCAGATTGAGTAGTATTTACATTATTGCTGGATAATGTAATCTCTTGAAGATGATGTAATGTACCAAACTCTTTTGGTAAGAAATTAAAATTACATTCGTGTAAAGTTACGTTTACGAGTTTCCGAAACGTATGCATGGTCAAAGAACCATACAAAGATATTTTACGATGAACGACCTTATTTTCTTCCTTAATAATTTATCACATCTTATTTTATTGGATGTTTTCTGAACGATACTTTTATTTTGCATCATTGTAAAAATCTAATGCAATTCAAAATTGAATTAAATAGAAATATTATATGCCATAAAATATCTCAATGCTGTGTGATACAAGAACAATCCTTCTGTGAAAAGTGTAGTTATAGATTTTATTCAATCGAACAGAGTTGTGTATTTTGACTCTTACTTGAAAAATGTTATCATTCTTGACAAATGAACAATTTCTTTATATTTCTACTGTTTCTATTCATAATCTAAAAAAAAATATTTAAAAAATGTTACTTTAATATGTCTTTTCAAGATGAAAAAGATCTACAAAGTATAAATGTCGCTATGATATAGAAGATGTTATAAAATGTATGTTGAAATTAATTTGACTCATATAAATTTGATATTATATCTTATCCGATAAAAATAATTCTAAACTAAACATATGGTGAACTTTACCTTGTTTCTTCTCCTATTCTTCTCTTTGAAAGCGGCTTGTAAACGATAAGAATGCGAATTGTAAAACGTGGTTATCTGTTTCATGTAATAGCTGCTAAGTGTACTGCTGTTACATACGTCCAAGCTAACATAAAGTCAATGATGTTTATTATTTTGTGTGCCGATGTGGGGAAAATCATACGCGCTTTTGCTAAAGATTACATAAAATTGAAATATGCCGAAGTAAACGATTTTTATATTGTAGGATTGACATATAATTAATGAATTAGAAAGAATTATTACTTAATTAAAGAAAAATTCTTTTATGATAGCGAATAAAAGAGTTTATCTTGTTATGCATTGCGGCGTGTTTCTATTTTGATATTTCAACAGAAAAATTTATAAGGGTATCAAGCTAGCAATAAAAAAATAATGTATGTATCAAGGAAGTTATTTTCGTAAATTAATACTCTATGTTGCACAAATCGTAAACAGTCTTGTATAGTTGAATTGTATGTCATAACGTAGTTGTTGATCATTCAATGCATGCTTCAAACACATATTACAATAATTTGACTTCTTAACATAAATAAAATTTAATAATTGACAGAATGTGTGATTTACTTAAATTAATAAATAATTAATACAAATAAAGTACGTTGGCATGTATAGACATAGAATCCAAATAAAATAAAAGCAAATTTGCCAAATATCCCATATAATTTATGAATTATAATAATTCAATCCACTTTTCTACTGAAAAAACGATAATTTACAACTATCACGCTGACGAAATGTTGCATTTTTTTAAATAATAATATTATCATATTTAGAAAATATCATAATTTTTTTATATTGCATTGTTTAACTTACATAATTATGATTTATGTTTAATTGTAAGTATAATAAGTTATTTCTAATAGAAAATAGCTTGAGCCATTTTCATGTAGATCGAGTGAATTTTCCACGAAAAAAGTGCAAAAATACAAGATATGGAAGATAAGATAAAGTACCTAGCTCCTTTGGCGAAAAAGAAACGTTATTTCTCTTCAATGTTAAATTTATTAAATTTTGAAAAGTTGCAAAGATTATGTAGCAATCAAAAAATAAATTTTCTTACTGTTAGCTTTCTTATTTCTTTTCTTAAAAACTGCCTAAATTTTTAATTTCTAATATTATTATAATCACGCCTTTATTTTGTACCACTGTGCTACTAATTTACAGAAAAATTTATAAAATCTGTTTGTTCAATGTTTGATATTCTCCTTTTTAAAATAAAGAAAATGTCAAGTTTCGCAAAAATAACAGAAAACATTAGAAATTGTTGATATTAATGTACTTTGTATAAAAATAATGTCTTATTTAATTGCCAATGCATTAAACAAAAATCTTATTTCATGTTATTTTAAATAAACAAATTACACTGTTTCATCTGTTGTATTTATAAGAGAATGTAGAGCTATACTGCCAATAAAGTTCTATAGAACTAACAAAAAACACAATGATTTATTCAAAAAAAGTTTTAAAAGTACTGTTCCATTGCCAATGTTAAAGTTACAATATAATCTCAATTATATGATTATTTGTTTTGCGTGATATTATTGACACAAGAATATACGATTGTATAAAAAACCACTTTAATTTAAAAATTTTATCAAAGTTATAATGACACTAGGCTGCACGTGTGAGACTTTTTTACTCCATTAGATAATAATAATGGTACGTCCGTTAAACATCTTTTAATTAATCTGACTGTTTTCTTCAGATACATCAAATATTACCAACGACAATATTTATTAATTTCTTCAATAAATATATAAAAAATCACAAAAATGTATTTTTTTTTCTATAAAATTATATTACAATAAGAAAAAACAACAAAAAAAGAGAGACATAATAAAAAACTTGTAGACAAATAAATGTTATATAAACATTTAAATGTAAAAAAAAATTTATTAAATTTTTCCCTTAGCACACCTGACTCTGTAAAAATGCAAAGATTAAAATAACAAAACCATTACTCAGTTTTCAAAAAAATATATTCTTAATGTCACAAATCGTTCAATAACATATGTATTTTAATTTCATGAAAAATATCCCTGGTAGAAATTTAATGCAGTTTTTGATTGGTTATTGGGCAGTTATATGGCTCTTTTCCTGGTAATTGAACAGTAAAACTGTTAGGATCCCAATTAAGACTTAACGCTTTTCGCGCAGTTACTACATAGAAAAAATGTACAAAATCTCAACTCAATTACTTAGCAATAAGAGGGCAATAAATACATGATTGATAATTGTCACTTTTAACCTCTGTTGAAATTTTTATGACAGAATTATGTGAGTTACGTATTCTAAGCTGTTTTAATACTGTAAGTTATTTTTCTTTGCGTTATATTTTTGCACGCGTTCACACATTTTTATTAATTTTATACTTGATTATTTTACAAATTTATTAAACTTAAACTTTACTTATTAATAAACTTATTATTAAACTTATTAATTTTTTATTTTAAAAACTGATCAGAAACCTTTTAATATCAATGATATATTCTGTTAAAATATATTTGTGGCAAAATTAGTTAAAGCAAATTTATTATACAATAAAATATAATAAAGTATATAATAATATTATATAATAAAATTGCTTTAACTAATTTTGCCTAGTTGCCATGCAGTATTTTTGTATATAAAAAGAACAAGTAATATTACATAGTAAGTGGCCAAGTGTTCAGTCAAACTGCACAGATTTCTACCAGAAATTGCACTTAATATTAAGCCTTAAAGATCTGTCGATGAAACGTATTAATATTTTGTTTCTACTTAACATGCATGTTATAAAAAAATACATAAATTTAGTGGTAAAGTATAAAAATCGTGCAAAAATATCTTGAGTTAATAGCTTGAATTAAAAATATCAAAAAATTTAAAACATTTTGTAAGACTGTTATGATAGAAAAATCTTGAATATCTTAAAAATTTTGCAAGTCTTAATGTCTTGAATGCCTTGAATAATATAAATGTGTGAAATATTTTACATAATTTAACACATATACATATACACATGCAAATGTATGCATACAATGTACATATACATATATATATATACGATATACATATATATACATGTATATTTACACAAACATATGTATATATGCATATCAATCTTTTAAAGCTTTTAAGATTTGACAAATTCCTCAATTAAAACAGTCTTCAAGATGTTTTAAGATTTTTTATCTTCAGTCAATCTTGGCTTGCTGAAAAATTTGCAAGTTAGAATCTATTTGTAAAATCCTATCACAAAATATATATATAATTTTGTGTTTCAAATATATGCAGAAGTAATAATATCGACAAATATCGATAAATTATGTGTATACTCGTCAAAGAATATATAAAATTCAAAAGTTTTGATATCAGATATTTTTACATAGATTACATTTTGTCACTTTTAAGTCAAATAAATAAATCAAACCTCAATCTTTTAGCACATTCTGATGAACAAGCGTAACATTCAAACTTTGCTTTCCTAATAGTTGGTGATGATAAATACGAGGTAAATTTAAGATCCAGTATTTCATCATATTCAAAATAATTTATAAAGCGCATTTTATAATAACGAAAACATAGAGTTTCACAAAAGAAGCAATATCTTTCATTATCCAAAAATCTGACCATTCTTGGTGATAATCCCTTTCTGTTTTTTATTCTATAATCGTAAAGATGATTCAAAATATATTGAAATAATTTGGACTTATCCAGTATTTTTCAAGAGTAAAGTTAAATATAATTAAAAACATCAAAATAATAGCAACAAACCCAGTTTTCAGGATAAATTCAGCTGAATAATTCACTAGACTTGGCACTTCCAAATTCGTTGTCAAATCATCATCACTATCGTCATCTAAATTAAATGGATTCTCTCCAACATTTATATCTACCGATAAATGTGCCAAACCTCCTGGTAAATATAACAAATCATTGTTCGATAAATTAAGATCTTTTAAATTTTTTAGATTTGCGAAGCTATTTGGTAAACATTGTAACTTATTACGAGCAAGTCTTAAACAAGTTAAAGCACTTAGTTTTCCAATTTGTGGCGGTAATTCCGTTAACTAAAAATAATGAATAATTTTATAATTTATTAGTAGATCATAAATATAAACTAACTTTTTTATGTATTTATAATAATTATAGTTCTTCTTATGACGTTTTGATAAATAAATAGTGCAAGTCTTACCAGATTGCCCGACAGATCTAATTTTGACAATTTATTTCTGACTTCAGTTTGCTTTAACCATTCCCACGTATTGTGATCCGATTTCCAAAGGTGATTACAAGAGAGATTAAGATGTGTAAGATGAGGCAAAGTACCTAACTCTTTTGGTAAGAACTCAATTTCGTTTTCACGTATGTCTAACCACCGTAGATTTTTCAAATATGTAATTTGTAATGGAAATTCAGTCAACTATGTATAATAGTACATTGTTAGTATATTAATAACTGATCCTATTAGAACTATACTCTTATTTTTAAATAACAATTTATTAAATCAGTTGATATAATGAAAAGCCAGCAACGAAATAGCGCAACTTACATTAGTAAGTAATATTTTAGTAATTTGATATTACAACTTACAAGATTAATACTAATGTTACATTTTCTTAAATTATTTCTAATGGAAGCTTGCATTAACCATTCCCATGATTGTTTAGATTGATTTTCGAGTTTATTAAACGATAGATTGAGATCCAAAAGAGGCAAATTACCAAACTCCTTTGGTAAAAAAATGATTCCGTTATTTCTTATATTTAATGTTGTGAGATTTTTCAAACATGTGATTTGTAAAGGTAATTCAGGTAGCTATAAATAATAAAATAATTCAATAACGATAATTCAATAATGATAAATGATGAAAACGTAATGTAACTCTTCTATTTTATAAAGAAAAACTTCATTCTGTTAATTTATAGTTAATATCATAATATCTCAGTACGTAGATAATGCAACTTACAAAATAATTCATTATTTTCAATGATTTTAAATTACTTCTCATAGGAGCTTGCTCTAACCATTCCCATGCAAATTCAGTAGTATATACGGGACACATTGTGGATAATGTAATCTCTTGAAGATGATGTAATGTACCGAACTCTTTTGGCAAAAGAATATACTCATATTCCCCTAAAGTTACATTTACTAGATTCCGAAAAGGTGTATGCAATGTCAAAACACAGTACAAAGATTCTTTTTCAAAATTCAATTTTTTTTTCTCCATCAAAAATTCATGAAATTTTAATTCACTTGATGTTTTCTCAACAATAGCTATATTTTGCACCATTGTAAAAATCTAATGCAATACAAAATTGGTAGAATATTATATGGATTTTACAATATCAAGTGTTATGTGATACTACAACAATCCTTCTGGAAAATGAAATTATAGATATTATTCGATCTAACAATGTTGTGTACGTTGAATTTTACTTAAAGAAATTCTATTATTCTTGACAAATAAATAATTTTTATACATTTCTACTGTTTCTATTCCTAATCTCAAAAAAATTATAAAGAAAATGTTACTTTAATATGTCTTTTCAATATGAAAAAAATCTACAAAGTATAAATGTCGCTATGATATGGAAAATGTTATAAAATGTATGTTAAAATTAATTTAACTCATATAAATTTATAATTTTAAACAATAAAGATAATTCTGAATTAAACGTAAAGTGAATATTACCTTGTTTCTTCTCCTATGTTAAAAGCGGCTTGTAAACGATAAGAATGTGAATTGTAAAACGTGGTTATCTGTTTTATATGACAACTGCTAACGTACTGCTCTGTTACATACGTACAAGCTGCTATACATAAAGTCAATGATGTTTATTATTTCGTGTCGATGTGGGGAAAATCATACGTACTTTTGCCAAACGTTATATAAAATTGTAATCCATCAAAGTAAACGATTTTTATATTGCAGGATTAACATGTAATTAGCGAATTAGAATGAATTATTATTTAATTAAAGAAAAATTCTTTTTTGATAGCGAATAAAAAAGTTTATCTTGTTATGCATTTCGGCGCGTTTCAATTTTGATATTTAAACAGAAAAATTTATAAGAGTATCAAGCTGGCAATATAAAGATAATGTATCAAAAAAGTCATTTTTGTATATTAATACTTTATCTATGTTGCGCAAATCATAAACAGTCTTGTATAGCCAAATTGTATGTGATAACATTTATCGTTCAATGCATGGTTCAAAAACATATTACATTAATTTGACTTCTTAACATCAATAATATTTTATAATAGACAAAATGTGTCATTTATTTAAATTAATAAATAATTAATACAAATAAAGTACGTTGGTATGCATAAACATAAATTCCAAATAGAATAAAAGCTAATTTGTGGATTATAATATTCCAGTGCACTTTTCTGATGTGAAAACATTGATTTACAACTGTCAGGCTGACGAAATGTTTCATTTTTTCAGATAATAATATTATTAAACTTAGTAAATATCATAATTTTTTAATATTGCATTGTTTAACTTAATATATTGTAATTTATGTTTAATTATAATCAATTATTACTAATAGAAGAAAGCTTGAGCTATTTTCATGTAGATTAAGTGGATTTTCCACGAAAATTGTGCAGAAATACAAGATACGGAAGATGAGATAAAGTACCTAGCTCCTTTGAGAAAAAAGACATGTTATTTCACACCAATGTTAAATTTATTAAATTTTGAAAAGTTGCAACAATTGTGTAGCAATCATAAATAGATTTTCTTACTGTTAATATTCTTATATCTTTTCTTAAAAACTGACTAAATTTTTTATTTTTAATATTGTTATAATCATACCTTTATCTCGTACCACTGTGCTACTAATTTGCAGAAAAAGTTATAAAATCTGTTTGTTCAATATTTGATATTTTCCTTTTCAGAATAAAGAAAATGTCAAGTTTTGCGAAAATAACAGAAAACATTATAAATTGTTGATATTAATGTACTTTGTATAAAAATAATGTCTTATTTAATTGCCAGTGCATTGAAAAAAAATCATATTTCACGTTATTTTAAATATGCATATTACCCTGTTTTTTCCGTTGTATTTATGAAAGAATGTAGATTTTTATTGCCAATGAACTTCTATCGAACTAACACAAAACACATTGATCTGTGCGAAGGGACAGTTATAAAAGTACTGTTCTATTGCCGATGTTAAAGCTACAATATAATCTGAATTATATGATTATTTGTTTCGCGTGATATTATTGACACAAGAATATACGATATAAAAAACAACTTTAATTTAAAAATTTTATCAAAGTTATAATGACACTAGGCTGCACGTGTGAGACTTTTTTACTCCATTAGATAATAATAATGGTACGTCCGTTAAACATCTTTTAATTAATCTGACGGTTTTGTTCAGATACATCAAATATTACCAACGACAATATTTATTAATTTCTTCAATAAATATATAAAAAACCACAAAAATGTATTTTTTTTCCTATAAAATTATATTACAATAAGAAAAGACAACAAAAAAAGAGAGAGACATAATAAAAAACTTGTAGACAAATAATTGTTGTATAAACATTTAAATGTAAAAAGGAATTTATTAAATTTTTCCTTTAGCACACCTGACTTTGTTAAAATGCAAAGATTAAAATAAAACCATTACTCAGTTTTCAAAAAAATATATTCTTAATGTCACAAATCGTTGAAGAACATAGATATTTTAATTTCATGGAAAATATCCCTGGTAGAAATTTAATGCAGTTTTTGATTGGTTATTGGGCAATTATATGGCCTTCTTCCTGATAATTGAACAGTAAAATTGTTAGGATCCCAATTACGACGTAACGCTTTTCGCGCAGTTACTACATAGAAAAAATGTACAAAATCTCAACTCAATTACTTAGCATTAAGAGCGCAATAAATAAATGATTGATAATTGTCACTTTTAATCTTTGTTGAAATTTTTATGACAGAATTATGCAAGTTACGTATTCTAAGCTGTTTTAATACTCTAAGTTTTTTTTTGCCTTATGTTTTTGCACGCGTCCACACATTTTTATTAATTTTACACTTGATTATTTTATCAAACTTATTAAACATAAACTTTACTTATTATTAAATCTATTATTAAACTTGTTATCTTTTTATTTTAAAAACTGATCAGAAATCTTTTAATATCAATGATATATTCTGTTAAAATATATTTTTGGCAAAATTAGTTAAAGCAAATTTATTATACAATAAAATATAATAAAGTATATAATAATATTATATAATAAAATTGTATTAACTAATTTTGCCTAGTTGCCATGTAGTATTTTTGTATATAAAAAAAAACAAGTAATATTACATAGTAACTGGCAAGAGATTTAGTCAAACTGCACAGATTTCTACCAAGAATTGCACTTAATATTAAGCCTTAAAAATATGTCGATTAAACGTATTAATATTTTGTTTCTACTTAACATGCATGTTATAAAAAAAAATACATAAACTTGGTGGTAAAGTATAAAAATCGTGCAAAAATATATTGAGTTATAAGCTTGAGTTAAAGAAATAAAAAAATTTAATACATTTTTTAAGACTGTTATAATAGAAAAATTTTGAAAATCTTAAAAATTTTGCAAGTTTAATACCTTGAGTGGTATGAATGTGTGAAATATTTTACATAATTTAACACATTCACTTATAAACAGTATACACGTATGTATAAAATATACACATATGTACAATATACATATATATATATATATATATATATATATATATATATATACACAAACATATATGCAAATTCAAGACTTTGAAACTTTTAAGATTTGCCAAAATTCTCAATTAAAACAGCCTGCAAGATGTTCTAACATTTTTTATTTTTAGTCACTTTTGATTTCTTTAATAATTTGCAAGTAAAAGTCTATTTGTCAAATCCTATTACTAAATACATATATAATTTTGTGTTTTAAAATATATACAAAAATAATAATATCGACGAATATCGATAAATCATGTGAATACTCGTCAAAAAATATATAAAATTAAAAAGTTTTGATATCGGTCATATGTGAGATATTTTTATGTAGATTACATTTTGTCAATTTTAAGTCCAATAAATTAATCGAAACTCAATCTTTTAACACATTCTGATGAACAACTTACGTAACATTCAAACTTTGCATTCCAAATAGTTAGTAAATACGAAATAAATTTAAGATCCAGTATTTCACCATATTTAAAATAATTTATAAAGCGTTTTCTATAATAACGAAAACATGGAGTTTCACAAAAGAAGCAATATCTTTTATTATCCAAAAATCTGACCATTCTTGATGATAATCCCTTTCTGTTTTTTATTCTATAATCGTAAAGATGATTCAAAATATATTGAAATAATTTGAACTTATCCAGTATTTTTCAAGAGTAAAGTTAAATATAATTAAAAACATCAAAATAATAGCAACAAACCCAGTTTTCAGAATAAATTCTGCTGAACATTCCACAAGACTTGGCACTTACAAATTCGTTGTCAAATTATCATCACTATCGTCATCTAAATTAAATGGATTCTCTTCAACATTTATATCTACCGATACATGTGCCAAACTTCCTGGTAAATATAACAAATCATTGTCCGATAAATTAAGATGTTTTAAATTTTTTAGATTTACGAGACTTTGTGGTAAAAATTTTAACTTATTGCCAGCAAGCCGTAAAATAGTTAAAGCATTTAGTTTTCCAATTTGTGGCGGTAGTTCCGTTAACTAGAAATAGTTAATAATTTTATAATTTATTAGTAGATCATAAATATATAAATTAACCTTTTTACTTTTTTATAATAATTTTGATTCTTTTTATGATGTTTTGATAAATAAATAGTGTAAGTCTTACCAGATTGTGTGACAAATATAATTCTGACAATTTATTTCTGACTGCAGCTTGCTCTAGCCATTCCCATGTATTGCGATCAGATTTTCCAAGGTGATTAAAAGAAAGATTAAGACATGTAAGCTGAGGCAAAGTACCTAACTCTTTTGGTAAAAAGTCAATTTTGTTCCTGCTTATGTCTAAGAACTGTAGATTTTTCAAACATGTAATTTGTAATGGAAATTCAAACAGCTGTGTATAATAATACATTGTTAGTATCTCATTAAATAATCCTATTAGAATTATACTCTTTATTTTCAAATAACAATTTATTTAATCAGTTAAAATAAAATGTCAGCAACTAAATAGCGCAACTTACACAATTGTTACTTATGTCTAACAGTGATAAATTATTTCTAATGGGCATTTCTAACCATTTCCATGTAGAATGCCCACATGTTACGAATTTATTACCCTCTAAATCAAGTGTTGTCAGTTGAGATAAAATACCAAATTCTTTCGGCAAAAAGTTGATCTGATTTTTGAATAAGCCTAATGATTCTAAATTTTTCAAACAAGTGATTTGTAATGGTACTGCAGTGATCTATAAATAATACCAATTTATTAGTATGACGGCTGACTTTTTATATATTGTCAATAAAAAGTAATTGTAATTTAAATGTTTCATTTTTAAGAAAATTTTTTGAAAAATAATTTTATTTTTGTTACTTAATCCAATGATATTTTAGTAATTCGATATTACAACTTACATAATTACAGCTTATGTCAAGTTTTCTTAAATTATTTCTAATAGGAGCTTGCGTTAACCATTCCCATGCAGATTGTTTAGACCTTCCGAAATCATTACACGATAGATCAAGATCCAAAAGAGACAAGTTACCAAACTCTTTTGGTAAAAAATTGATTCTATTCCCAGTTATGTCTAATGTTGTAAGATTTTTCAAACATGTGATTTGCAAAGGTAATTCAGATAGCTGTAAATAACAAAATAATTCAATAATATAACAATAAATGGTGAAAATGTAAAGTAACTTTTTTATATTTTAAATAAAAACTTTATTCTATGAATTAATAGTTAACATCATAGTAAGTATCACCTCTCATAAGCTGGCAGGACCAAATCAGCAGAATCGAATGCGACTTATCGGAAAATTTAGTACTCATTTTGTACTATTTTGAAAAAAAATCTTTTTTTGGGTGGTACAAATTAGTACAAATTCAGTACTAATAGAATCTATCGTTATTTGTTATTTTTTAATAATTTTTATTCGGTTAGTTCCACATCATGTTGGCAGGACCTCGATTTTTTTCAAATAACACGGGGTACAAAATTCTTTCTGGTGGTACAAAATAGTACATGACAAGTGGTAAGTAATAAGATAAATTTAGTTCAATTGTGCTGGTTAAATTCTTAAAAGATCGGAAGAGAAATGTCCTATTTTCTAGGATAGACAAAATAAGGGTTGTTTTAAGGGGTTAATGGAAATATTTTGACTTTTTTAGGTGGTACAAATTAATACAAATTCAGCGCTAACTGTATACGTTGTTATTTTTATTTATTATATATATATTTTTTTTTGGTTTTGCTAGCTTAATATGAAGTTGGCAGCGCCACGATTTTTTCTTAAATGGCACGGAGTACAAAATTATTTTTTGTGGTACAAAATAGTACAAAATAAGTACTAAATTTTTCGATAAGTCGCATTCGATTCTACTGATTTGGTCCTGCCAGCTTATGAGAGGTGTAAGTATCTGAGTAAGTATATGGTGCAACTTACGTAATACTCTGTTATTTTCAATAATTTTAAATTACTTCTCATAGGAGCTTGCTCTAACCATTCCCATGCAGATTGAGTAGTATTCACGACATAATTTCTGGATAATGTAATCTCTTGAAGATGATGTAATGTACCGAACTCTTTTGGCAAGAAATTAAACTTACATTCTTGTAAAGTTACATTTACTAGATTCCGAAAAGGTGTATGCATTGTCAAAAAACAGTACAAAGATTCTTTTTCAAACTTCGATTTTTTTATCTCCATCAAAAATTCATCAAATTTTGTTTCACTTGATGTTTTCTCAACAATAGCTATATTTTGCACCATTGTAAAAATCTAATGCAATACAAAATTGGTAGAATTTATATGGATTTTACAATATCAAGTGTTATGTGATATTAAAACAATCCTTCTGGAAAGTAAAATTATAGATATTATTCGATCTAACAAAGTTGTGTACTTTGAATTTTACTTAAAGAAATTCTATTATTCTTGACAATTTTTATAAATACCTACTGTTTCTATTCATAATCTAAAAGATCTACAAAGTATAAATGTCGCTATGATATAGAAGATGTTATAAAATGTATGTTGAAATTAATTTAACTCATATAATTTTAATATTTTATACAATAATAATGATTCTGAATTAAGTAAGGTAATTATTACCTCGTTCTCTTTTCTCCTATGTTGAAAACGGCTTATAAACGCCAAGAATGCGAATTGTAAAACGTGGTTATCTGCTTCATATGACAACTGCTAAACGTACTGCTCTGTTACATACGTTCAAGCTGCTGTACATAAAGTCAATGATGTTTATTATTTCGCGTCGATGTAGAGAAAATCATACGTGCTTTTGGCAAACGTTATATAAACTTGTAATACATCAAAATAAACGATTTTTATATTGCAAGATTGACATATAATTAATGAATTAAAATAAATTATAATTTAATTAAAGAAAAATTCTTTTATGACAGCGAATAAAAAAGTTTATCTTTTAATTAATCTGACTTTTTTTCAGATACATCGAATATTACCAACGACAATATTTATTAATTTCTTTAATAAATATATAAAAAATTACAAAAATATATTTTTTTCCTATAAAATTATATTACAATAAGAAAAGACAACAAACAAAAAGAGAAAGAGAAAGAAAAAGAGAGAGAGAGAGAGAGGTGGAAGAGAAAATAAAAAGAAAAAGAGAGGGAGAGAGAGGGAGAGATATAATAAAAAACTTGAAACATAAATAAATGTTATATAAATATTTATATGTAAAAAAAAATTCATTAAATTTTTCTATTAGCACACCTGACTCTGTAAAAAAAAGATTAAAATAACAAAACCTCTCGCATTACTCGCAATCAGTTTTCTAAGAAATATATTCTTAATGTCACAAATCGTTGAATAACATATGTATTTTAATTTCATGAAAAATATCCCTGGTAGAAATTTAATGCAGTTTTTGATTGGTTATTGGGCAGTTATATGGCTCTTTTCCTGGTAATTGAACAGTAAAACTGTTAGGATCCCAATTAAGACTTAACGCTTTGGCGCAGTTACTACATAAAAAAAATGTACAAATTCTGAACTCAGTTACTTAGCAATAAGAGCGCAATAAATGATTGATAATTGTCACTTTTAACCTTTGTTGACATTTTTATGACAGAATTATGTGAGTTACGTATTCTAAGCTGTTTTAATACTCTAAGTCTTTTTTTCTTTGCGTTATATTTTTGCACGCGTTCACACATTTTTATTAATTTTATACTTGATTATTTTACAAATTTATTAAACTTAAACTTTACTTATTAATAAACTTATTATTAAACTTATTAACTTTTTATTTTAAAAACTGATCAGAAACCTTTTAATATCAATGATATATTTTGTTAAAATATATTTTTGGCAAAATTAGTTAAAGCAAATTTATTATACAATAAAATATAATAAAGTATATAATAATAATATATAATAAAATTGTTTTAACTAATTTTGCCTAGTTGCCATGCAGTATTTTTGTATATAAAAAGAACAAGTAATATTACATAGTAAGTGGCCAAGTGTTCAGTCAAACTGCACAGATTTCTACCAGAAATTGCATTTAATATTAAGCCTTAAAGATCTGTCGATGAAACGTATTAATATTTTGTTTTTACTTAACATGTATGTTATAAAAAAAATACACAAACTTAGTGGTAAAGTATAAAAATCTTGCAAAAATATCTTGAGTTAATAGCTTGAATTAAGAAAATCAAAAAATTTTAAACATTTTGTAAGACTGTTATGATAAAAAAATCTTGAATATCTTAAAAATTTTGCAAGTCTTAATGTTTTGAATATCTTGAATGGTATGAATGTGCGAAATATTTTACATAATTTAACACATATACATGTACACATTCAGATGTATGTATACAATATATATATACATGTATATTTACAGAAACATATGTATATATATTATACAAATTCAAGACTTTAAAGCTTTTAAATTTAAAAAATACCACAATTAAAACAGTCTGCAAAATGTTTTGAGATTTTTTATCTTCAATCAATCTTAATTTGTTTAAAAATTTGCAAGTAAGAATCTATTTGTAAAATCCTATCACTACTAAATGTATATATAATTTTGTGTTTCAAATATATACAAAAATAATAATATTGACGAATATTGATAAATCATGTGAATACTCGTCAAAGAATATACAAAATTAAAAAGTTTTGATATCGGTCATATCAGATATTTTTATGTAGATTACATTTTGTCAATTTTAAGTCCAATAAATTAATTGAAACTCAATCTTTTAGCACATTCTGATGAACAAGCGTAACATTCAAACTTTGCATTCCAAATAGTTAGTGAATACGAAATAAATTTAAGATCCAGTATTTCACCATATTTAAAATAATTTATAAAGCGCTTTCTATAATAACGAAAACATGGAGTTTCACAAAAGAAGCAATATCTTTTATTATCCAAAAATCTGACCATTATTGGTGATAATCCCTTTCTGCTTTTTATTCTATAATCGTAAAGATGATTTAAAATATATTAAAATAATTTGGACTTATCCAGAATTTTTCAAGAGTAAAGTTATATATAATTAAAAACATCAAAATAATAGCAACAAACCCAGTTTTCAGGATAAATTCAGCTGAACAATCCTCAAGACTTGGCACTTTCAAATTCGTACTCAAATCATCATCACCATCGTCATTTAAATTAAATGGATTCCTATCAACATATATACATGCCGATAAATGTGCCATATTTCCTGGTAGATATAACAAATCATTGTTCGACAAATCAAGAAATTTTAAATTTTTTAGATTTGGGAGACTATGTGGCACACATTCTAACAAATTACGAGCAAGACTTAAACAAGTTAAAGCGCTTAGTTTTCCAATTTGTGGCGGTAATTCTCTTAACTAGAAATAATTAATAATTTTATAATTTATTAATTGATCATAAATATAAACTAACTTTTTTATGTATTTATAATAATTATAGTTCTTCTTATGACGTTTTGATAAATGAATAGTGCAAGTCTTACCAGATTGTCCGACAGATCTAATTTTGACAATTTATTTCTAATTTCAATTTGTTTTAGCCATTCCCATGTATTGTGATCCGATTTCCAAAGGTGATTACAAGAGAGATTAAGATGTGTAAGATGAGGCAAAGTACCTAACTCTTTTGGTAAGAACTTAATTCTATTATTGTTTATGTATAAGGATCGTAGATTTTTCAAATATGTAATTTGTAATGGAAATTCAGTCAACTATGTATAATAGTACATTGTTAGTATATTAATAAGTAATCCTATTAAAATTATACTTTTTATTTTATAATAACAATTAATTAAATCAGTTAAAATAATGAAAAGCCAGCAACTAAATAGCGCAACTTACATTAGTAAGTGATATTTTAGTAATTCAATATTACAACTTACATAATTAAAACTTAAGTTGAGTTTTTTTAAATTATTTCTAATAGAAGCTTGCATTAACCATTCCATTGCAGATTGTTTCGATTGCCTTTTGAGATAATTAAACGATAGATTAAGATCCGAAAGAGGCAAATTACCAAACTCCTTTGGTAAGAAATTGATTCCGTTATTTGCTATGTTTAATGTTGTGAGATTTTTCAAACATGTAATTTGTAAAGGTAATTCAGGTAGCTATAAATAACAAAATAAATTAATAATATAACAATAAATAGTGAAAACGTAATGTAACTCTTTTATTTTATAAAAAAAAACTTTATTCTGTTAATTCGTAGTTAATATTATAATATCTGAGTATGTAGATAGTGCAACTTACGGAATAATTCATTATTTTCAATAATTTTAAATTACTTCTCACAGGAGCTTGCTCTAACCATTCCCATGCAAATTGAGCAGTATTCACGAAACACTTTGTGAATAATGTAATCTCTTGAAGATGATGTAATGTACCGAACTCTTTTGGCAAAAGAATATACTCATATTCCCCTAAAGTTACATTCACTAGATTCCGAAAAGGTGTATGCAATGTCAAAACACAGTACAAAGATTCTTTTTCAAAATTCAATTTCTTTTTCTCCATCAAAAATTCATGAAATTTTAATTCACTTGATGTTTTCTCAACAATAGCTATATTTTGCACCATTGTAAAAATCTAATGCAATACAAAATTGGTAGAATATTATATGGATTTTACAATATCAAGTGTTATGTGATACTACAACAATCCTTCTGGAAAATGAAATTATAGATATTATTCGATTTAACAATGTTGTGTACGTTGAATTTTACTTAAAGAAATTCTATTATTCTTGACAAATAAATAATTTTTATACATTTCTACTGTTTCTATTCCTAATCTCAAAAAAATGATAAAGAAAATGTTACTTTAATATGTCTTTTCAAGATGAAAAAGATCTACAAACTATAAATGTCGCTATAATAGAAAATATTATAAAATGTATGTTAAAATTAATTTAACTCATATAAATTTGGTATTTTATCCGATACAAATAATTCTGAATTAAACATAAGGTGAATATTACCTCGTTTCTTCTCCTATGTTGAAAGCGGCTTGTAAAGAATAAGAATGCGAATTGTAAAACGTGGTTATCTGTTTCATGTGACAGCTGCTAAATGTACCGGTCTGTTACATACGTCCAAGCTTGTTACCAAGTTAGTAAGTACATAAAGTCAATGATGTTTATTATTTCGTGTCGATGTAGTCGAAATCATATGTGATTTTGTCAAACACTATGTAAAATTGAAATCCATCGAAGTAAACGGTTGCTATATTGTAAGATTAACATATAATTAATAATTTAGAAAAATTATTATAACTGAAACATGTTTATTTATGTTTTTCGAACATTGTAAAAGAGAAAATTAATCATAAACTATAATTTTAATACGGATACAAAAACATCTTTTTCATTTTATATTTACTATTCAGCTTCAATCATTGTAAAAGAAAGAATTAGGTATTTTTATGTCAGTTAATCTAGAATTAAATATTTTGTTTTATCTAAATGAGTTCAATATTTCCTTTTTAATAAGAATTTCGCATTCTATATCCTTGAAAAAAATCGCACGCTATGATAAATGTGATTCTTTATCTCAGAACTAAAAAAGAACTTTCAAACAGGAGCTTATACACAAAGTAAAAAAAATGTACGATTTGATGAATTGTAGTCATTTCAACGTGTTTTCGATCAGATGAAATGCGAAAAGTGAATGTCGAGTCTGTAGTAAATTAATAAGCATTCGCGCGCACTAATGGCGCGTTGCGGATAACGTGGAAAAAATTAATATATTATTCAGTCTAACAGCGCAAAATTTTTTTCCATTAAATATTATACTATATATTTTACATTAAATAGAAGGATTAAAGTGTATGTGTTTTATTGTGATATGAATATATCATGTAATTACATATTATATAATATCAAAAAATATATTGAATTTAAATGTTCTCAATTCGATAATATTGAAGATGGTCTGCTATAAATTATTGGTCTATAAATTCCTATCTAATTATCATCATTGTCATCATCATCATCATTATTATTATTATTCTTATTATCTCCATCATTCTCTCTTATCTCTTCAATGTTATCAACTTTATATTCATGTTGTTTTTCTTCTTCATTATTATCATCCTCACTCTCATCATTATCATTCTCATCATTATCATCATTTTCTTTCTTATTTTCTGTTTCCTTCTCCTTATGATCATTATCATTGCAAAAGTTTGTTTCTATATAAGGATTCCAAATAGTACGTAATAAACGAGTACAACGTAATGAACAAATATAACATTCAAACATTGCCTTATAATAATTTTTTGTTACTATAAATTTCAATGGCCATAACATATCGTACAAAAAATAATCCACGAACAATTGTAAATCATAATGAAAGCATGCAGTTCCACATATGCAGCAATAGTTTGCCTCGTCCAAATATCTGATTAATACATTCGGTATTGCGTTGTAATTTATTCTATAAAAATATTAAAATTATTTTTAGTTTACATATGACACATATTATCATCATATGTTCACATATTAAAAGTCAAATTATACTATAGAATATAAATATTAAAAAATAAAAGCAACGAACCTAGAATTTAAGATTAATCTAGCTGAGCATTCACTAAGACTAAGCACTTTCCAACCATGAGAGATGTTAACTACATGCAACAAAGTATTATTAGAAACAAATGGATTGTCTTCAACATTTAAATAACTTAAATTCAGATGTACGATAGTTCCGGGTAAATATGAGAAAAGATTTTTTGACAATGTTAACACCTTTAGGAATTGTAAATTAACGAAATTTTGTGGTAAGTGTTTTAGCATATTTTGGTCACATAACAAACTTGATAAAATATTTAGCTTTCCAATTTGTAATGGTAATTCAGTTAACTACAAATATAATAATATTTGTTAATACATCAGTTATTAGTAAAGTAAAGAACACAAAGTAAATTTTTTTATTGCTTCTGTAATAAGTAATAATTAGATGGTGCGTTACTTACAAAATTGTGACATATATTTAAACTTAATAAAGTATTTCTTATGCGAGTTTGCTCTAACCACATCCAACTAAGTTCAGCAAACTTTCCAAGATAATTATGAGATAGATCAAGCATCATTGGAGGCAAAGTACCAAACTCTATTGATAAGCAAATAATTTCGTTATTGCTTAAGCTTAAATTTTGTTATATTTTTCAAACGAATAATTTGCAATGGTAATTTAGTCAACTACAAATAAAAATAATTTATTAATATTATGATAAACAATAAACGTAAATTAAATTCCATTTTTTAAAATAATAATATTATTATATAATTAGTAAATATTTTAATATTTTAATATTGCATTGTTTAACTTACAAAATTGTAATTTATGTTTAAGCATAATAAATTGTTTCTAATGGGAGATAGCTTCAGCCATTCCCATGTATATCGAGTGGATCTTAGGTAATTGTGTAATAACTCAATATACTGAAGATGAGGTAAAACACTTAACTCCTTTGGCAAGAAAGAGGAGTTATTTCCCTCTAAAGTTAAATTTTGAAAAGGTGCAATGGTTGTGTAGCAAGTGTAAATAGATTTTCTTACAATTAACATTTCTATTTTTTTTCTTAAAAATTGACAAAATTTTTTATATTTTAATGTTGCTATATCCACATCTTTATCTTGTACCATTGTGCTCCTAATTTGAAAAAATTATAAAAAATATTTGTTGAATGTTTGATATTCTTCTTCCTCGAATAAAAATGATTTGCAAATAACAAACTTTGCAAAGATAACAAAAAATATTAAAAATTGTTAATATTAATCAATTTCATTATACATATATATATAAAATTAATATCTTCAATAAAATATAAAATTAACATCTTGAATAGATATGAATACATAATTGAATAATAAATAATAAATTGTTTTTAATTAATAAATGTGAATTTTTAAGCAACTCAACCCAGCTCTTACTCTATTGCTGTATACTAACACAATTCTTAATTTAATTAAGGAAAAGCAATAACCTAATATTATTTGTAATTATAATTGAATAAGATATTAATAAGATATTAATTAGTGCACTGAACAAAAATCTCGTTTCGCGTTATTTTAAATATGCATATTACCCTGTTTTTTCCGTTGTATTTATGAAAGAATGTAGATTTTTATTGCCAATGAACTTCTATCGAACTAACACAAAACACATTGATCTGTGCGAAGGGACAGTTATAAAAGTACTGTTCTGTTGTCAACATCATAGCTACAGTATAATGTCAATTAGATGTTTAATTTTTTCACGTTATAATACTATAATGTTGACAGAAAAATATACGATTTAATCAATAGCAATTTTAATTTAAAAATTTTATTAAATTATTAATTTTATTAATTTTATTTAATGATTCATTATTTTTATTTGATCTCATGTTTATATAATTTGTAATAAAATCATATTTCGAATTGCCTCCGTGGCGCAATCGGCTAGCGCGTTCGGCTGTTAACCGAAAGGTTGGTGGTTCGAGCCCACCCGGGGGCGATTTTTTTTATTTTATGTTGTTTTATATTACAACATAAACATTCCTGTTTTTTACAATAATTCTACTCATAATTTATAAAAAATTTATATTAAAAATCAGCTAATATTGGGCAAATATCAAATATATCTATAGCATAAAAATTGTTAAACAATGTTAATTAAAGTCTTTTGAAAAATTTTAATAATTGATTTTAATTTAATCAATAATTAAAAACGCAAAAATATAATGTCTGTGCAATATCATAAAACTACATTTTTATAATATTTGTTTTTACAGGTAAATAGTGATTTAAAATTGCCACTCAAAGTTGCGATAAATTGCCACAATAAACCGTGGCGTTTATATCGCATCTCTCCATGTTACTGCAGTATCCATTTTCTTTTTATCAACGTGTAAATACCACGCGAGAGGAAAACTTATTATTGCAATCCTAAAGCCACAATTTATTACGTAAGAATTAATTGTTTTATTATAAGCAATAATAATTAACATTAATTTTAGTTCTATAATACACTAGTATGACATAAAAGTGATAGTTATCAAAGTTGATATTAAGGATTCGAAGGAAAATAGTCACTGATTTAACCGGTTGAATTACACTCCATTCTTCCATTTAGAAAAATGTCATGTAATAATATCCATAGAGTATATATTTATTACTTAGATATATAATCTATTTTTATTGTTATTATTTTTTATGCTTGATAGATATGCATAACCTAAATATATTTTTGTTAAAATTTTAGGTTAGGACAATACTATTAGAAGTTTTTCTTTAAATAGTATGACATCAACTTTCATCATTCCATTTATATGTTATGTAATATATATTGTTTTATATTTTGCAGATAATACATATTTAAGTATGGCAGCACAATTTTTCAATCGATTGGGTCAGCTAGGTCTAGGTATAGCTCTTACAGGCGGTGTTGTCAATTCTGCATTGTATAATGGTATATTTAATATTTGTAATTTCATATAATAATCAGCAAATCAGCTTTTGATTTTGTTAAATTAATATAATAATTTTTTTAGTTGATGGTGGTCATAGAGCAGTTATATTTGATAGATTTGCGGGTATAAAAAACACTGTAATGGGAGAAGGAACACATTTTTTCATTCCTTGGGTGCAGAAACCAATTATTTTTGATATTCGTTCACGACCGAGAAATGTTCCTGTTATTACTGGAAGCAAGGATTTGCAGAATGTAAATATCACACTCCGTATTCTCTTTAGACCTGTACCCGACTCACTACCTAAAATATATACAATCCTTGGTGTGGATTATGATGAAAGAGTACTGCCATCTATTACTACTGAAGTATTAAAAGCTGTTGTCGCACAATTTGATGCTGGTGAATTAATTACGCAAAGAGAAATTGTGTCTCAAAAGGTCAGCGAAGATTTAACTGACAGAGCTGCACAGTTTGGTCTTATTCTAGATGACATCTCTATTGTGAGTACATATACATTTATCGATTATAGATATAGTTATTATTACAAGAAAAATGTATCTTGTATTTAAACCACTAATTTTCATAATTTTCTCAAATTCTTTTAGACACATTTAACATTTGGTAAAGAATTTACCCAGGCAGTAGAATTGAAACAAGTAGCACAACAGGATGCGGAAAAAGCTCGTTTTTTGGTAGAAAAGGCTGAACAGCAAAAGAAAGCGGCTGTTATTAGTGCTGAGGGTGATGCGGTAGCTGCAAACTTATTAGCAAAATCTTTAGCTGAAGCAGGAGACGGTCTGGTTGAATTGAGGAAAATTGAAGCTGCAGAAGACATCGCGTATAATTTATCTAAATCTCGTCAAGTGGCATATTTACCATCAGGTTTAACCGCTCTACTTAATTTACCGCAATAAAATAAACAAACTGGTACACAGTGTGTGTCTATAAATTATGCATTTATATCATGAAGTTTGATGCTGTAATAGAATGTAAAAAATATAGCATACATGGGTGGAAACCAAAAGTGTGTATAGCAAAGAATATATAGTATTTCATAACTTTTATGTTTTGGTTCATGAATTTACATATATAGATGCTTACGTGTTATTTTATACATGTTTCTTTTTTTTATTAGATTAACTACTATTAAGTGATTGCTTTAATATCAAGACAATTGCTATTTGTTCTTTTAATGAAGAGCACAGAAGCATAGAAGAGTATGCAAGCATAAAAGTCTAGAGGAATATCCAGAATGTCGTATATCTAAGAAATAGTTTTCCACGTAATGTTATTAATTCATAGAATTTTCATTTACACATTTATTTTTGCAGTTAACAACGATGTGCCAGATAATATATGATGCAAATTAAATGCGAACAATACAACGACATTATCATGTATAATTAAATCGTAATTGAATGTTATTATATCATAGTTGTGTACATACACAATTAAATAATGAATAAATGACAATAGCTTCATGTGTGTCGCATCATAATTACCGCATATCGTTGTTTTTGATAGTTTCATAAAGTTATCAACTTGAGTGGTCAGTTTATTTTTGACAGACGTCAACAAATCAGTTTTTGTTAGTAACAAAAGTAATGATATTTTAAGTTGTTTTAAATAAAGTACATGCTTCATTCAGAGGCAAAAAGATGTATAATGTAAATTGTACCACAATTTAAATGGAGTACTCGATAAAAAAAGAAAAATATGTCTCAAGCGATTATATCAATTGCCATATAATTATATCTATAATCACAAGGATATCAATATCCTGTATAAATATAATGAATCAGTTTACTTACCAGTCGTTGTATCTTAGCTAAATACACCTTCAGCTGTATCTGGAAAAATTTAATATTTTTTTCAAATTTTTAAATATTTAGTAAAAGAAGGATTGTATACGTATGATCACAAAATTACGTACATATTCAAATAATGAACAATTAATTGTACTTACAAGCTAGGATATTGCAGTTTGTTTCACCGGCTACAAATTCCATCTTAAAATGTACCGCTAACCGTATTGTCTCCTTCAAAGAATTGATGAATATTAAAAAGCTGGATTTAATTAATTACACACCCTGTTGAATAGAAATCAACTCGCGCATTTTACTTTGTAACGGATTTACATGGCAAATTTGCTACGACGAAAATTTCACTGCTAAAACATGACATGCATACAATTTTATCTACACACATACATTACGTTGTAACATCCACATGGGGACATCCACACTCGGAACATGCCAGGCGAATGAATGTTTTAGCGGTAACGCGGAGATCATCATATATGTAAATGCAACAACACTATGTTTTTTAAGGAACAAATGCTACATTTAATGGAAAATAAATCGTACACTCATTCAAACATGCCTGTGGCACAGTTAATCACAAACACTCGCGATAAATAATACGTCTCGCGATGATCCATCATTTTGATCAGTGCTCTCGACAAAATTTCACTTGTTCTATGCTTATAATACAAAAAAAAGATACACAATTAGATCACAGAGCATTCGCGCTCTGTGTTCCGAACTGACACGCATCAAACATTTCATCGGTGGTCGAAAGATGGCACGCATAATGGCGACTGTACCGATCGTAGATGTTTGACGTTACGCGCGCCATCCTTCGATCATTATGAGAGTTTCTATTACACTGCTTCGTCCAAAAGGCAGCGCGAAATCTTTACGATTAGTTGTATATTTTATCCGTTAAAAATATAATAAGCGCGAATTTTTTGTCGGGAGTGCCGATTATATATATACACTCACCCGAAAAAAAAGCGGTACACTGAAAATGTGGGAAAAATTCATCAAATTTCAACTGACGATAACTTCGTAAATAATAAAGATAGAAAGTTCTATAAAATATGGAAATGAAGCTAAAAATCTCTACTTTAAGAATCAATTTATTTCAATGTTGCAAAATAAATTTATTGAAAATGGCGGATGACAAAGCGCGAGCATGCAAAATTGAAAAATAATGGTTCGAGTTTGCGACGGTGCACGGTATAAACAAAAAATTGTAGCTTATTGGGATCAAAAGCGTACGAAAGTACAGAGTCTCCTCTTTAAAATGCTTTTTTATGCATCTCGATACGATGATTTTTCGCCGAGAGATTCGCATTTGAAGAAAAAGGCAGATTCTTACTTCAAATGCGAATCTCTCGGCGAAAAATCATCGTATCAAGATGCATAAAAAAGCATTTTAAAGAGGAAACTCTGTACTTTCGTACGCTTTTGATCCCAATAAGCTACAATTTTTTGTTTATACCGTGCACCGTCGCAAACTCGAACCATTATTTTTCAATCAATTGTTTTGCATCCGAAGGAGATGTCTGCAGATCTTTTGTGATTTCTCCGCCCTGACTTTTTGTTTATGCTCGACCGCACATTGCGAGAAAAGTGCTTGATTTCTCGATGAAGTTGGCATAAATCGACTCGAATGGCCAGCAATGAGTCCAGATTTAAATACCATTGAACACCTATGGGACAATATTAACAGAAAAGTACGAAATCATATACCTGCTCCTCAGTCATTGCCAGAACTTCGAAGAGTTCTTGAAATAGAGTGGAATGACATTACGCAGTCTGAAATTAGAACATTAATAAGGAGTATACCTCGTCGCATGAAT